AATATCTTTGGGTGATTTAAAGATGACTAGCGGACAGCTTCACTAAGCAAATGTTACTTTCTCACAGGTTTGTTTAAGTACGATGTTATTTTATCGCTTAATCACAATTTAGATTACCGTAAGGTGATATTTATATAATTAAATCATTAATAAACAAGTTTTAATTTTTTTGCAGTAATAAAGTTTTATTTAATATGTATAGATAACTTATTGACGTGTTTTTTTTTAATTTATTTAGCAAATAAAATAATATATAAACCACACATATCATTAAATTGTAGAGAAGTCATATCTGTTTAACGTTTCACCGTGACACCAAAATAATATTTTTTATTGTTTTTAAAAAATTAAGAAAAGAAAATAAAGAAAACAATTCCTGCAGTAGGTATGCTGCTACAAACTCCTACCGGGCGCGTCCCCCAGGTGGCGGATAGGGGAATGCCACCCGCTTAGGGCGGCGTGTGGTACCGGGGAAATCCGGTGCGGATTAAATGGCTTGGGCGGGGCCGCTCGTCTAGGCCTCGAGCCGAAGACATTACGGCCACCGGTGGTGGGACCGCTTGGTCCTACAACCGGATGATGGGTGCCGGTTGCGGAACTGTGGTCACAGGCCCGCATCCGGCGGAGGGGTAGGCCGCGGCGGGAGAGGAGTGCCGGTATTTCGGTGCGCCGTTCTCCCTACCTTCCGCGGCCTAGAAGGGGCCGGAGCGGACGCGGTGGGTTGCAGGGGAAGAGGAGTGTCGGAGTTTCGTTGCCGCTCTCCCTGTCCTCTGCAGCCGATTGGAAGTGGCCCACTTCGGTGGGCGGTGTTTGGTTTAATGGGGCTGCTCCGGGTACCTCTCTGGCGTAGCAGAGTTGACTGTGGAGCAGCCCTATTGGTTTGGTGGTCTGCCTAGCATTTAGGCAGACCTGCCGCCGGGGCGCCGTAGTAGTTATGCGCAAGCGATCCTGCGGCGTCCCACTAAAGCGGGGGGAAGGGATGTCGGGTTTTAGTGGGTAGTACCGGCTCTTCTAGCCGGTGAGCCCCACATCACCACCTGGGGGATCAGGTGGTATGCGTAAATGCATTTCCCGATGAAAAAAAGGTATGCTGCTACAAAACTTTTATAAAAATAGTATTATGCAGAAACTACTATATTAAATTTTTACTACACAATTACTGCTGCAGATCCTTGAATACTCAGCGTATTTTTTATACCGGAAAACTAACCTATCTACGGATTTGTACACATCATAAATATGTAAACTAGAATGATTATAACGGTTTTACATCGGATAGCGGATATAAGTTCCATAATTTTGCTTAAATTTCACAAACCTTTACTAAGAATACAATTCCAAATCTATAAACAATTCAAAAAATATAAAAAAATAAGCTTAGAAATTTGAGTAAAAACTCCATTAGTTTGTGGGAATTGTTTCATAATTTTTTATAGCCTTAGGCATGTTCATTATTTAATATATTTGCATCGCGCTAAGAATATTTAAAACATATTACATGTCCGAGAAATACGACGACTATTAGTATAAAAATAATTATAGTATTATGTGGGAAGTTGAGGGGCGCAAAACCACGAGCACATTCTAGTGTAATAAATGTATAAATTATGTTTTTTTCAGTGACATGTTTGTTTTCTCTTTATTCATTCTTTTATTTCTAAAAACATTTTCTTTACGATATATCTAAACACAAAATAATTAAATGTGTGTTTGTACAGCTCCCATAAACATTAACATTTTCTATAAAATTGAGAAAACTTAATGAAGTATCGAAAACGAAATATCCAATATCCTTAAAATGAAAATAAAATTCGATAACCATAAAAATACCTTTTTTAACAGTCTAAATGTGCGAAAAACATCACTATATCAAAATATACTGAGTATAAAGAGTGACACTTAGCACTTAACGGTCAACAGCCTCTCGATTAAATAAGATATTCGGAATTCGGATTGTGTAAGCGAAAAAACTGGATCTGAAGTATAAAGTATTATTCAAACCTTGTTATTTCTGTTTCCTATAAGGCACTTATTAAATGCGTGACTTCTTCAACAAGCTATATATAGATGATCATTTTCAGACCTCCAAAAGAAATGCCTAGGTAATTAAATTAAAATTAGAGATAGTTTGACAATTATCTGAATGATTAAAATAGAGCAAAAAGATCTATTAAGCGAGAAATCTACTAATACTAGTAGTACCTGAATATATTATATTAAAACACATTTATAAAAAAGAACGTAAAAATATTTGGCACAAGTTTAGTATATGGGACGCGGCCCCTGGCGGAGTGGGTGGTATTTTTGGATAGGGTAGGTGACAGGGAGCCCAAATATATAAAAAAAATTTTAAGCAAACGTAGGAGTAAAAAGTTATTGAGAGTTAAAGTTACAACATATCTAATACATTTCCTTACATTTCTTTACCTATGTGATTACAAAAGATAAACATACCTTTAACGAATAGTAAACATCCTTTTTTATGTACAATACATATTTCCACCACAATTAAGGCTTTATTGTATTTAATTTTTTAATAATTTCACAACAGTACCTATTGTAAACAAAATGATCTTACATTTTGACAACTGTCAATTTCTGTTTTACATTACCGCCTAAATGACAACAGATTATATTAATACAATTTATAAACGTGAGTACACTATTTTTAAAATCTAAGTGTATTATTTAGTTTTGGTTTCTATTTTGCGACATCGTGGTTAGTTTTAGACATAGGTTATTTATTTATTATTCATCATATCTTGGTTAGGTTATGTTAGAACAGTTACCACAACGCACGAGCCGAGCGAGCGAAGCGAGCGTGCCGCGGTAGCGGCCGGCGAGTGCCATTAAGGGGTTATTATATGACTAGAAAACTAGAAAATTCGAATTTCACGCAAAGTATAATTAAAAACACGACAAAACATAATATTAAAATAAGATTTTTAAAAATTCATAAATAAAGCCTATGCGTTTCCTATTTTTATTTCAAACCCAGAACCCTTGCTATTATAAGTGCTTTATGTTCTGACTCATCATCTGGAGATCATTTTGACAATTGAAAGTGACATTTTGATATTTCCAAGTGTCTAAATGGCAGTAATATCTAAATAATGTATGGAAATGTTGTAACTTTAAGTCTCAATAACTTTCGACTCTTTTGTTTCCTCAAAATTATTTGGACTCTCTATCACTTCCCCTATCCAAAAATAACACTCACTCTTCCAGAAGTCGTGTCCCATATACTAAACTGCAGCCAAACATTTTTTCCCTTTAGTCTTTTCAATTTGACAAAATTTATTTAAATTGTGCTACAAAAACATCTTCACATTTCGAATTGCAATACAAGTGATAATAAAAGAATAAAAATTTATTTTTGAGCCATAAGCTTTAATAAAACTTTTGTATGTCAAAAATAACAGAACAATATCGTCAGTGTCATACAAGAAGTTTATGGACATGCTTTTAAAGGTTTAACTTTTTGTGATATCTTAAAATGAAATATAACGTTAATTTATAAAAAGAATATATACAGTATATCCATATATTTTTTTAATTTAATATACATTTAAATAATTTATCAAAAAATATGTTTTATTAATTAATAGTGTTACAAAGACTCACTTATTAAAGTATGTATTCCTTTAACCCATGAAAGAGTTACAAGAAAAAAATTGCACAACACAATTTTTGACTAGATTCTTATACATATTTGTTTATTTGTGAGTATAAAAAAATAAATAAAACATCTTTTTTTAATATCTAAACTAACTACTTAAGAAACGACGTGTAACATAGGAGGTTAAAGAAGATGTTATTCTAAAACCGCAGAACAATATAATTCTTCTGTGAGTGTGAATGTCACTGAACTTCTCTCAAACGACTGGACCGATTTTGATGAAATTTTATGTGTGTGTTCAAGGGGATCTGGGAATGGTTTAGATTCACAATTTGAATAATAATTTTCATCAAAAAAAATATTAAAAAAAGTTTGAAATTTTCAAATTAAAGACGTGTAGACAGGACAACGTCTGTCGGGTCCGCTAGTAGTAATCTAAAAAAATATGGTCATGACATATGATTCTATGATAGAATTATTAAATTTGTCATTTCAAAACAATTTTATAATATCTCTTCTTAAATAATTATTATATTATTATTATGAATGTCATCTTGTAAATACAAATACACGATGTTGTTCATAATAAAAATCAGATACGCTTCATTTTTTAAAAATTACACCTCAATTTCCTTTTGTAGAGACATGTCATGGCCATAAGGCCATAATCTACGAGTATATAATATATAAAACAAAGTCGGGCTGGTTACATTTATAACTCGAGAACGGTTGGACCGATTTTTATGATCTTTATTTTGTTGAATTTGTCGTCACCCCGAATAGCAGAATAATTATTAAAACATCGTAAAAATTCACGAAAAGTTAAAAAAAAAACGTATCTAGAGACGAACCTGAGCGAAGCGAGGGTGAGTCGCTAGTATAAAATAAAAGATAAAATTGTAAACATGAGATGAATGATAGACAAATAGCATCTCTTTAACAGGTAATCAAATGATTTACTGTTATTATTAAGTTTGTTCGTAAATGTAGACGTAGACTATGGAATCATTTTTAAGTATTTATTGAATTTAATGATGCGAAACAAAATACAAATAAAATTCATGTTTCATTTAATCTTTCGCAGGTTTCTGAACAAATGTTGAGATATCGTTGCGAGACGCAGCTTATCGTTAATTTAGAGTCTTCGATTAGAGTCCACCAGCCGACGCACGCTAACGAGCATTCGTTTTTAATTTATTTTTATTTTAACAACAGTACGGTGCCGATGTTTTGTCTTCTACCGACGATTGTGCGAAGTTAATTGGATTGCCCGCTTTGAAATAAGTAAATAAAGCTTACCCACATTCATACCAATAAGCTTTGATCCTGACATCTGTCAGAGGGGTCTTTTTGGTTTTTATTTTATTTTAAGGATAACTTAAAATATATTTACCTTTGTTGTTGTAGACTGTAGTGGCGAAGCAGATGAAACTGCACACACTTCAACTTCATATCTGTCCACACCAGCTTCTCTATCCAATGAGACTGCCGTTGATAAGATCCCTAAGGAAGAATCTATATCAAATAACCTATCCACTTGTCTGTTATCACCCGTTACATTTACAATATAATACTCTAAACCACCTTTAAAGTTATTAGTCATATTTAACACTGCAGTCCCGGCCGGTTCATTTTCGGCTACAGAAACCGACCCCACATTTGTCCATGTAATTCCCTCTAACTCTGTACCACCCATTATAACCGTCAAATAAGTTTCAGTGCTTCTTTGCTCGCTTAGCACAGCTTCATCTGTCGCTTTTATAACGAGATTCCATCTTGCATCAGGCATAGCGGGAGGATACCGTAATGTTAAAGCTCCATTACTTCTATGTAAGCTAAATATATCGTTACCACCATGAATCAACTTATAAGTTACAAGTCCGTTAGTTCCGGAGTCAAGATCACGAGCCAAAACATTCATTATAAATATCCCACGATTTACACTTCTACCTAATCTAGCCGAATTAATCACTGCAGCGTTCATAGAAACAAACACGGGCGCATTGTCATTTATGTCCTCAACAATAACTGTTACAAGTTTTTCTGCAGAAAGTCTCGAAGATACCGGCTCTGCTCTATCATACGCAACAACGGTAATCTTAAATGTATCAATGCTCTCTCTATCTATAGGCAATAAAGTGTGTATAACACCCGTGATGTTGTTTATGGCAAAGTGTCTTCTACTATCATTAGGATCTTGATGTTTAATGGAATAATAAACTTTTCCGTTTAACCCAGAATCAGGATCTTCAGCTGTAACTGTCACTATAGGCGTATGTGTTGGAATACCTTCTCGTATTTGTCTCACTATTGCTGTATTAGTAAAGATGGGAGCATTGTCATTTGCATCTATTACGTTTACTGTAAATGAAATACTTGAAGATAAACTTGGATTTCCATTATCTGTTGCGGTAATATTTAAAACATAATAAGTTAAGTCCTCATAGTCCAAATGTTTGTGTAAAAACAACTCTCCAGAATAGCCGTCGATAAAAAATGTTTCCTTCCTGTTTCCCGATGAAATGGAATATTGCACCTCATTATTTATACCCAAATCAGCGTCAGTTGCGTAAAACTGTATTATTTTTTTATTGACTGGTTCAGTCTCTAAAACTGAAACATTCATTTGAGATTGCGTGAAAATAGGTGCATTATCATTTTCATCAAGAACGTCTACTGTTATTGTTGTAGACGAAGAAAGAATTACATCCTGTCCAGAATCATGAGCCATTATAGATAGCACGTACCGATCCATAGTTTCTCTATCTAAAGCTTTACTAATAAAAAGTTGCCCGGTAGCCTCATCTAGCATGAATTTTCCAGTCTCATCTCCACCTATAAGCTTGTAATATATATCCCCATTAAGCCCTTCATCGGCATCTGAAGAATATACTCTCATAATAGAAGCCCCAACAGCGGTACCTTCAGATATTTCAACTTTGTACGGTGTTCGCAAAAAACTAGGCGCATTATCATTTACATCTGATATATAAATCGTTACTCTGACTGAATCCGATAATTTGATTTTACCATTATCACTTACAGTAACCGTCAGGGTTATATAGTTTTGACCTGAGTTTAAAGCCAAGCTTTCTCTATCAAAAGATTTCAATGTTTTAATAAAGCCATTCCTTGAATCTATTCTAAAATCATTTTGGGCAATAGGCAAGCTAAAAGTTAATTCGGCATTTCTGCCAATATCTTTATCACTTGCTGTCAACTTTCCTACGAAAGTATCTGGAGGTTCGTTCTCTTTTATTTTGAATATAAAAGTTGTATTTGTAAACTGTGGACTATTATCATTTTCATCTAACACATGAATAACAACTGGAACTTGTGAAGATCTCGGAGGGGTTCCATAATCTGAAGCTACTAATGTTAAAGAATAATAATCCCGTTCTTCTCTATCAAGAGTACTTTTAACATAAAGGTATCCGTCTGGAAATACTCCAAATTTTCCATCAGTATTTCCTTCGATAATAGAGTAAGATATTCTGCCATTTAATCCTAAATCAGCATCAGAAGCAGATATCGCAAAAAATCTAGTGTTCACTAAAGTTGATTCCAACAATGAAGTCTCATACGAAGTATGGTCAAAAACAGGAGTATGATCATTGACATCAGTTATTATTCCAGATATTGTGTGCTTAGTAGCTAAAACTGGCCGGCCATTATCAGATGCTGTAACTTCTACAGATAAAATGGTACCGGGTTCGCTTGTTATAGCCTTATTCAAATATATAACCCCGGTAGTTTCAGATATTCTGAAGTTATTGTCAGGATTATAAGTTAAAGCATAAGAAACAGTGCGATTAGATCCAGAATCACGATCTGTCGCTCTAGCGAAATAAACTTCTTGGCCAACGGCCATATTTTCTGGGATATAAATTTCATCTTTTCCTTCTATAAAATATGGATAGTTATCATTAATGTCCAAAACTGAAATATTAACAGTAGTAAATCCAAATGCTTGCCCACTTTTAGCCATTATTTTAAGATGATATGTCATTTTGTCTTCACGATCTATATTTGCTTCTGTAGTAATGGTGCCACTTTTTTCATCTATTTTGAAAACGCGTTTGGCATCACCATCTAAAATATAATATGATATTGATTCACTTGATGTTCTTGTACTTACTTTACCAACAAAACGACCTATCTCAGATTTCGATACTCCTTCATCTTCAACTATTTTAAAACTGTAACCATTGTATCCTTCAAATTCTACGTTTTTGTGATGAAAAGCTTTTATGATTTCAACAATTGCGTCATCAAAAGCTCGTCTTTGGCCTTTGTCTTTACAAGATATACGTAGCGAATAAAGAGGCTTAGGAGCTTTACGAAAATCTTTTTGTAAAATAATGTTTCCAGTCAGAGGTTCAATTTCAAAATATCCATCACCACCACTTTCAAGCGTGTATGTAATTTTCGCATTTTCACCTTCATCTAAATCCAGTGCGTTGACTTGGAGTATCGTCGATCCAGGAATTGTATCTTCTCGTATACTTTCGAAATATCTCTGCGGGTAAAAGCTAGGATCATTATCGTTCACGTCAAGAACTTGAAGAAATATTGAGGCAGTTGATGATTGCGGCGGATATCCCTGATCTTTAGCAATTACTTGTAACTCGTATTGTGAAATTCTTTCTCTATCCAGTTCTATCACGGTACTTAATTGTCCTGTTATTGGATCTAAAATAAAAGTGTTTGGATACTTTCTTTCTACGCTAGAGGAAAGATAGTAAGAAACAGAACCATTTGTACCCTGGTCGTAATCAGAAGCGGTTAATATTAATATTTCTTTTACAGGTTGCACATTTTCAGGAATTGTAGCATTTATTTGAGTTTGTGGGAAAGATGGTGCTTCGTCATTTTCATCAAGTATTGTTATTTTTAGTCGTGTATAAGCCCATTTTGGATTTGGACCTCCATCTCTCGCGGACACATTTAGTTCAACGGTTCCTTGAATTTCTCTGTCTAACATAGACCTTGTTATAACTAGACCTGTTAAATGATCTATTGAAAACCATTGTTGCTGATTTCCGTCATAAAAATCATAGAAAATTTCAGCGTTTACGCCAGAGTCTTCATCGGTTGCTGTTATTCCAGCAACATATGTTCCAGGAGGGGCGAGTTCACTTAAGACTGCAGAATATTCAGATTTTTCAAATACTGGCTCATGATCGTTTACATCATTAACATGAATTACCAGAAACGATGTAGCTGTTCTTGCAGGAATACCTTTATCAGTAGCAACAACGGTTAAATTATATTTGCTTATTTCTTCCCTATCCAGAATACCATTTACGTGAACAATATATACGCTGCTTGAATTTTCCAATCGAAAATGACCTAATTCGTTTCCTGCTACAATGTGTACACTTGTAATGCCATTCAGACCTGCATCTAAATCAGTTACGGTAATTGCTGCTACGAGTGACCCATTCTTGGCATTTTCATCCACAGTTGCAAAGTTTGCTGTTGGAGGCACATAAGTAAAAGTGATTACAGGATCATGATCATTTGCATCTATAAGATTTACCGTTACATACGTTCGTGCATCCTGTCGGGGTGATCCATGATCATTCGCTATAACAGTAAGTACGCATGTCATATTACAAGTGGTATTGCTACAATATTTTGGACAAATTAATTTTTTGGTTGTAGTTATCACACCAGATTCCGGATCTACTGCAAATTGCTTTTCAGTATCAGTCACTTCATATGTTATTTTACTGTTATCACCTAAATCACTATCCGTAGCTGTAACTTTCAGAACTGTAGTCCCTGGAGGTACGCTTTCATTTAAAGACACGGAAAAATCACTTTGATCAAAAATAGGAGGATTGTCATTTACATCTAAAATTGAAACGTTGACTTGAAGATACCCGTATTTAGGTGGGCTACCACCATCACGTGCTGATATATTTAAAATGTAAAAATCATTAGTTTCTCTATCTAATTTTCCTGTAGTCTCTAAATGTAAATAAGAGGTTTGTCCACTTGGATTGACTGTGACATTCAAACGAAATTTTCCTTCATTATCTCCATCCACTATTCTATAATCATTTGTTATTCCATTTTCGCCTAAATCTTGATCAGTCGCTGCATCAAGTAACAACTTTGTCCCAGGTGCTGCACTTTCTGAAAATGCTACAGCTATTACGGGTTCAGGGAACTCGGGATAGTTATCGTTTACATCTGTTACGCGAAGTCTAACTTCTATGGGATATGTTGGTTGACTCGATAAAACAACAAATGCATAACGATCTACACTTTCACGGTCAAGAATCATATTAGTTTTAATCTCGCCAGACACTGAGTCAAGAATGAACTCCTTTGGTGGTTCATTAAAGCGATATGTGAAGCCAGGTTTGATTGGAATTCTTCCAACAACCGTTCCAATAGGCTGAGCCTCAGGTACGCGAAGATCGACGCCGGTGTCTACGGCGCGAGACTGCATCTGTTCGGCGGCGGCGCCAGCGCCCGCGCCGGTTAGCAGCGCCAGCGCGACCAGCACCACGTGCCACCGCCCCATCCTGGTCATGAGACTATCGATAACATTGCAAACTTAGTTCTCCTTCAGCAATTATAACTCGCGACTTAACCGCTTACTGTGTCCCGTTCGCGCAGTGTCGCGCACTCTCTCGTTTCAGGTATGCAACATGGCCGCAACGACCTGCGCGAGCACAAATATCTCACAGAGAAGGCAATCCGCCGTTGCGCCTACGCCGTCACATTTATTCGTAAACACACGTGACACTCACTATCTACACCAGTTAAAGGCAGTATACGTGTTTTTTAACTTATTTAAGGCACTTAACTATTATTATGTTTATAGCTTCATATATTGTTTAAAATATCACAGTGTAATTTCACTTTGTTTAAAGTTTTTATCACTATAACGTACAGAAACCGCAGCGCTAACTACATGCGTATTGCGTCGCGCTTTACACGTTACTGGCGGGCGGAGGCTTTCTCGCCGCCCCGCGGCCTCCCCTCGATCTTTCCCCGCAATTTTAAAGCTTTGGCCGTAGTTGCGGTACGATGATGCTAAGATAATAGCCGCCCAAGGATTCCACATTTATTATTGAAAAAGTACTTTCATATTAAAATGTTTCTACGTTATCAATATTTTGCTACAAAATCAAAGAAATTTTATATTTTTTTATTTATTTTAATTTAAAGAAAGTAAATTTTACTAATAGGTACTTTTAAATTAAGGATACTAATATTCGTTTAATAAAATAAAAAAATCTACGTTAATCCTCAATTATTAAAAAATATTAGAATCTTAAGCGCGTTGAAATCTTTTATAAGGAACATCAATGTGTCCGTCCGCTTCTACTTTACAAATATGTTGAACCAAATATGTCTAGACATTAACACACAGCACCATCTAGTTCCATGGTAAGCTACGAGGGTTGTATTATGGATACCAGATATATATCTTTAAATACATACATATTATAAATATAAACATCCATGACTGGGTACAAACATTCGTGCTCATCGCTTAAATGAATGCCCCTAACGGGACTCGAACCCGTGACCGCTGGCACAAGTCTAGTAGAGCTACTATAAACTGAGCCATATGGGTCATCAAACTTTACAATTAACTCAAACATTTCTAAAAACTATTATTAAAGACTCTTTTTCAAACGCCTCATAATAAATTTATATTTTTTTTCATTTATAATAATTTTGTCATTAAGTTAGATACTCAGACTATAGAATTATATAGACGGATGCGCTAAAAAAATGTCAAAGTCATAAATAGCAGCATGTTGTGCTGACTATGCTAATATAATATTCTAATAAAAATAGAATAATAATTCTCGATGTTCCTGAACGTAAATTTACAACTTTTGAGAAAAAATATGAATAATAAAAATAGTTTTTTTATTATTTTGTATTTTTTAAATATTAGGTCTCTTTCCCTTGAAAGAGAGATAGCATAATGTTAATACTTTCTTAGATTTACGTGAATATTTGATATCTATGCATATAATAAAATTGTAAATAAACCGAATCTGTACATTGAATATTTTTTGGGAAATCTTATTGAAATAGACATTATTATCGATACAGTCTGTCTGTCTGTCTGTCCGAAAAGATAGTTTTATTTAAAACTATCATAACCCACGGCTCTGCCCGCGTTCAGATGACCAAAAACCAAATTCTTAGGTTTTACATATTAGTATACACTTACATTGCAGTTTTTGTATTCTTTCTCAGAATATTTTTCCGCGGTAAAAAGTATCCTATATGTTGACCCGAATAACTAGCTACCATCATACCAAATTTCATCAAAATACCTCTACTGGTTTTTCGTGATGCGGTAACAGACAGACAGACGGACAAAAATTCTAAAAACTATAGATTCGGCCTCTGTATCGATAATAATGTCTATTTCAATAAGATTTTCCAAAAAATATTTAATGTGCATATTCGGCTAAGTTACAATTTTATTATATGTATAGATTTTATTTAGTAGAAAACAAAAAAGTTAAAAATAAATCATAAACGAAGACGAATAATTTTATTTTAAAATGTCAAATATTCGCGTAAATCTAAGAAAGTATTATGAAGATGAATCAAATAAAAATTGTTAAACAAAATAAATGTTATTTTTTCTTTCATTCAACTTTTCTTCTTTTCTATTACCCTATATAATTAAAAATTACATACCAGTATCACAGGCATCTCATATATTATATCCATACTAATCCATATCCAAATTAATATTATAAATGTGAAAGTTTGTGAGGATGGATGTTTGTAACTTTTTCACGCCAGAACGGCTGAACGGATCTGGATGAAATTTGGCACATAGACAGATTGTAGTCTGGAATAGCACATAGGTAACTATTTATCCCGGAAAAATGTACGGTTCCCATGGGATAGATTTGTTTTTGTTTTTCACAGAGCAAGGGATCAACTATCTATTCCATAATAATCGTAAAAACAACATACCCATATGCTAGTACAAAATAATAATGTGAAAACCTTGTCTTTGTCAAAAAATTACATTTATTACATTTTGCAGTAAGCATTTTAGATAAAACTCCATCTAGGTATGTTAGTTAAAAGTTGGAATCACTTCATAACGCAACAAAATAAGTACGTTTCAGAGCTTTCATACAATCTTTGTATACTCACAAAAGATGGCGCTGTTATTGTAGTCCGGAGAAAATTATTAAAATAATTGCCTTTAGGAGAAGATTTTTTCATGAAACTAAAATTCACTTATTAAAAATAAAATATTTTTAATATTTAATGCTGACTGATAAATTAATACATTATTACAACCATAAAAAGGACGTTCACATCGGAAAAGCTTTTACGTGATTAATTGCCACAAGATGGCACTGTTGTGTCAATATATTTTCAAACCCTAAAATAACAGTGAATAGAAGATTTCAATACATATATTTAATCATATTAAATTTATTGAAATATCCTTTTATCATTTTAAATTTTATATAAATTAAAACTTTAAATAAAAACAAAATAAATGAAGTAAGACTATTTTTAAAAACACAATCATAAATATACTTACAATTTTTTTAAACAATATAATGTTAAAGGTTAACACTATTGTTTTGTCTATTGTCTTGAAGTTAAATAGCATTAATTTTTGAGGACGACGGCTTCATGTAACATTGAAAGCGTTATACGAGAGATGGCGCTTTTATGCAGTCATTGAAATTACTTAATGAAATAGGTATTTTATAGAATAAGATTAACTAATGAGGTTACTATTTTTTCTTCGTTAATCACTAATTCTGCCAACGGCTTTTCCTGCCGCTTATATGTATAATATACATTTTGCGCTATTAATGTTTTAAGATTAAGTTATAGGTAATTAATTTACAGGTCGTTTAGCTTTTAAATTATCCATACATACAAAAAACTCATATTATAGTACTTCATTCAGTAGAACAAACTTATTTTCTCATTTCAATAGATGGCGTTATAGATTGTAAAGTTATTAGTAATTATTAGTAGGATCACCGAAGTTATATGGCAATGCCAAGTTTCAACTTACTCAAAAAAAAGCAAATTAGCCGTAAAACATACAGGCATTTTGATCTTGGTCATCATGATGATGATAAAAAAAACTTGTGAAAAGATGAAACATATACCTACGGATTATTTACACTTCATTAGACCCCATATTTATAATATTTCATATTGTTACTTGTTTTTAAAAAATATGAAAATAAAGCTTTTTTAGGTGTCATCCCACACTTTGTTGTTAAAAGTATTTCTATAACTTATATCAACTCTTATTTTCTAGTCATTTGAAGCACTTCAAATCCGTACTAATCCATATCCATACTTAATATTATAAATATGACAGTTTGTGAGGATGTATGGATGGATATTTGGTACTCTTTCTCGCTAGAACGGCTGAATGAACCTGGATAAAATTTGGCATAGGTTCCTTTTTGTTCCCGAAAAATGAACGGTTCCCGTGGGATAGATTTGTTTTTGTCTAGGGACGAACCCAAAGCGAAGTGAGGGTGAGTCGCTAGTCGCTTATAAGTTCGAGCCCCTTTTCTGTTAAAAATAGCCCTAAAGTCATGCTTACTATATATTCTATTGGAACACTTGTTGCTTAAAAGGTTTGACGTCACTCCCCCCTACCACAGTAGGTTCGCGCAGGGGGTCACCCCTTCCCGGGGCGTGCTGACGTAAGGACCTACACTCATGAATGGAAGAGTCCTAAACTTGGCTAACTTGCTTCTCATACCCAAATACCACAATTCCACGTATTACGTCATTTCAAAAGGCATTCATTGTCACTATGAAGTATAGTAATCCCATTAATAAAATGTTATAATATGTACGTATCAAAATATTAATATATATGTAAATAGTACTACATATTTGAAATCATTCACAATAAAATATTGGTAAATTATTACGCTAAAGTTTAATTTAAACCGTTTAAAACTGTAACTTTAGGATAACTAACAAGTATTAAAAATAAATACATGCTTTGCATCATAGTCTACGCTTACGTTTAACATTTCAAATTTTCTGTTACTGTATTTTCTTTAATTTTTATTATTTCTCCAATCTACCCTTTTCTTCTTTTATGTATATACTAACTACGTATACAAAATGTAGACTAAAAGATTTATACATTCTGTTATCACTGAAAATTGTACCACTGCTCAATGTTGCTTACAATCTAATTTATTTCCACTGCTCTGAAATTGGCTTCAGAGTTCTGAATGCCTTTTCTATAAATAGAAGCAGCTTCCTCCCACACGATATATAGCGGCGCATAGCTATCTATATTCGACGTCGATAGAAAAACAAAGCCGTCTCGAACCTAAAGCTTTGCCTTTATATAACGAGCAGACGTGCATTGAATACACGTAATTGAAAAAGGCTTCTCTTGGAAAAAGCAATTATTTTGCATCTGCAAGCTACAATCGTTACTAAAATGAGATTTCTATTATAACCTTGCTCCCCCTTTGTTTCTTGCTTAAAAAAAACTAAACTATAATAGTATCTATTTTTAATTGTATATGGTTTTTATAATCTCTTGCACATTGTTTTAAAAGATTCTGCTATTGTAGCAAAATATAAAAATATTTATAATTTTATGTCAATTTTACTTTACGCTTTTAAGTTTTATGATGGTAAAAGGTACTTGTAAGATAGGTGCTTAAAATATATAAAAATAAAATAGCACATAACAAATACAATTTATGGATACTTAAGTTTAGATCTTTCGTATAAAATACACCTATGAGAATCTAGGTATCAATCATGCTAGATATTGACTTGCGACGACGGCACAAAGGCGCCAGGAGGTCGTTTACCTCGTATTTGTGACTTCCGCTACCGAATTTGAAAATGCACTTCCATTGCACCGTAGCGGAATCACCCTCCCGACCTACCCCATATACCCGGATATAGCGCGCTTAATATAGGACGCGCAAAATATAACAGTGTGGTATTTTTAAAGAAAACTTGCAGATATGACTTTCTGTACGCATTTTTGAAATTATATAAATCTTGTAAAATAACATCTTGTCAGGTATGAAATCAGACAAAATATATCGAAAAATCGATTTGTAGTTTAAAGTATTTTTAAAAGCATTTTGAACATAATAAGTAAACAATTTTTTATAATAAACTAGCGACCCCTCGCGCTTCTCTCCGGTGTGTCTCTAGGTAGTTCTTTGCAACTTTCACCTGAACCACCGAGTTTATCGGAATATAAAGTATTTTATAGCCTCCTCCAGTTTATAAACTGGCTCTATGCAGTCTAATTCAAGTCGAAGAGCTACTACCATATTTTTTCTCATAACAGGGCGACCCACCCGCTGATAGAAAGAAATGATTCACTTAAATACCCAGCAACCGACGAAATTTTAGGATGAGACGACAAAATTTATGTAATTTTTTCTGTTAGAAAACTATTAAGTGTACAACTTAAGTATAAAGTTCTGTGGAAATAAAGGTTTGGTGTAATCTTTAATTTAGATTTAGACTGTCTTTGTCGTATTATATTATACTAAGCATTACTAGGAATATTATGTAAAGAATTTTTTATAAGTCTCTTTTCTATACATATAATAAAAATCTAACTGATTGCGAGTCGAATCTGCACATTAAATATTTTTTGGAAAATCTTATTGAAATAGTTATCGATACAGAGATCGAATCTATAGTTTTTAGAATTTTTGTCTGTCTGACTGTCTGTATTTCTGAGAACGAATCTTTTTACTGCGGAAAAATATCTCACCTCTGAGAAACGTATACTGAACGTTTAAACCGAAACGAACCCGGAATATATAACTAAGTAAAAAATTTGCATATTTTTAACAATGTAACTTTTTTGCTTTATTTTCCCTTCGTTTATTAATAAGGTTTGAGTTGATTAATTTCAAAAAAATAATACGTCATTGCGGCGTTCATAAGCCGTGTATTTGTTTATCTGATAAACACGATGCTCGAGGCAGCTTCTCTTATTATGATAAAATGTTCCCAATAATAATAGAATAATAACCTTACGAAATACTCTTGCAAAAACATCGAATTCGATGTAATCATGAATATAATTGTCTTTTAAGTGACGCTTATTAATTAAGGAACTTAGATCGTCATTTTAATTAGTTAAAATTCCACGCTACGATTCTGCAAATATACGTAATAGAAAACTTTCCGTCTCGAGTATCTTTCATACCCCTGAAGGTTTTAGAATACCTATTGTTGTAATTATTTATAATTCACGTTTTAAAAACAAAAGATTCTCAATTCAAATGTATTTGTGTGTGAATTACGATTTACGCCATACCTTAGCCTAATGTGAACCGATTTTGATGAATCTTTATATATGTATATACGTACATATATTGAAAAATATATCCACGTCTGATGCTGAAATACCTACGCATTGTTAATTTAATTCGAAGATTAGAGTTTTTTTTAGACATAAATATCTATTTTTAATAACAGCCCGCGGGCTATCGACTCGCGTGATAAGTACATTGATAATAAAAATACTCATAAGCACCTACCTATATCTTGCTCATGATTTAAGCTAGCTCACAAACTTTTAGATTTTATATTATGAAGTTGATATAGGTGAATGGTCAAATTCTGCATATTTTCAGTGATGTATTTATAAATATCACCTCCAGGTAAATTTCTAAAAAATTAATTAAAATTCTAAGAAATCTATTGTTAACTGACACGCCGGCGTTTCCGCGGTCGTGGAGGGATTAAACTATATTGTAAAAATTATAAATAAAGATTTTTATCGCTCCATCACTTTACAAAACTTTTTTTATTTACAACGCATCACTATACTCGTAGTTGACATTTATGTATATCCATAGGTGGCAACACCTAAGACGTGCACCAAATTAAAACTTCCTCCATCCAATAGATTCAGTGAAAAGGGTACGATAACATAAATAATATTTTTAGTATACCTATCCAAGATTATCGTTTTTGTACTTCTATGTGGGTTTTTCTTTTATCTTCTGAAATAAAACGTCTCTTACTAATAGTGACTTTCAATTACCTATTATGATAAAAGTTTCATTAAAATACATTCAATACACGTGTAAACAGAACATAACTGTAATGTTGTAATTTAAAAAAAAACAAAAATAGGTAGTCCTCTACAAAATTAGATCACACTAGCTTTACATTCAAACAAATGTATACTTTATTTAGTTAAAACAACCGCTTAAAGCACTAAACATGTGCTCTATGCTTTACAGGCCTTGGATTAAACAAACCACGCAGTACTCCCACACAGTGCAGAAAAAGATGCGCTGTACGTAGTAGCTATTTTAAGTTCCTCGAAAATATGATATCCCACGCATTCAGAAATTATTGAAAGAAAAATTCATTTATGAATTAAATTCTTCATTATTTTATGGAGACAAGAAATAAGACAAAACAAGTGAGACAGACAGATAGTAGGATGGAGTGACGGTTATAAATAAGATTAAATATTATATGCGTATTACTTACAATTGTCACTATTACTATTATATTTTACTGTAACAGCTATACTAAACTTAACTTCATTTAGTTTAGTATGTTACCTATAATTACCTATGATTAGACATCAGGTTCAAAACATAAGTAGGTAACTGTAAAATAACAGCAACAATGACAAAAAGACAAATTATGAAATTTTCAGATCTAGATAGTGTTATATTTCATTGAAATATTACACGTTTATTGTACACCTACCAATATTAAGTTGTTATGATAAAAAACAGGACTGTTTAGTAAAATGAATAATCTGTGGGCGCGATCGATACTTAAGTGGTATGGAATGGAGACGAGGTGAGCCACCCCCGACCCGTGGGGTGCACGCAGGGTGGTTCATTGAGAACGTGGGCGGCGCGTGGGCGACAAGCTTATAAAGCACCGCGGCCCACCCTGTCGTCATAGTTGTGCTCTAAGCCTCCTATGCGACGGAACACTGTGTGAAATGTGTTACTTATTCTCAGGACTCAGGTAAGGATAATTCTTAATTATTCTTAATTTTAGTTACAGTTTTAACAATAATGACTGAACAATTAAAATAAACAGCCTTTAAAAATATTTTCATAAGATATTATGAATAGTTATACATACTTACATTACTTATAATTTTAATTGTTTTATAAAAATATTATTTTACGGTATAAATTATGAAAATTAACATGAATCTAATTTTATAGGATGTGGGTGGTTTTGTTCTGCTATCTGTTAGCACAAGCGAAAACGTACCCCTTACAAGGTTGGCCAGTTTACTCTCAAACGCCACGAGAATATCCTGATGATGATTATTATTACGCCCCAAAAGTCCAATACTATTATGATGCTCCAGCCATTAATGTACCTGAAGTATACGGTCAAGTTCCTTACACATATTTTTATGATCCTTATGGCCATTTTGCAAATGAAGAGCCAAAACGACAAGAAGAACGGCTAGCCGCATTGCCCATCGGTCAAGAGACATGGTATGAAAGCGAATCATCTCCTCGATGGAGGTCTAATAATATTGATGACGTCAACGCAGCCTTCCTAGACAATTTAATTCTTACTCAAATGGCTCAAGACGCACAAAGGCGGCGTCAGAATGCTCGTGCTGCTTTTTCGCATATGAAATACGAAGAAAAAGAGAATGAAGATGAAGACGTTAGAGAATTGAAAGCTCTCGCTGGCAAACCATTTTATCACGTACCCAAAACAGTTCCTAGAATTGAAGATGATGAAGAATATGTGGATGATGATGGTGATGCTGATTCATTTATAAACTGGAATGGAAATAAGCGGAGTTTGACTACTGCCGCCCCGGAGATCAGCACAGAGCAAATACAAGCTGGGCAGAAAGAATTTGTTATGCCACGACCAGCACAAATCCCTCACAATCATTTAAGTTCTCAATCGATCCAGGATAAAAGAAGCTCTCCATTCTACAAAACTATCACACAATTAATTGAAAAACAAAATAAAGTAAGTTTTGAGGTACAATCTTTAATATCATCTCCGTAGAATAAACTGTATACGTATAGATCGTGAAACCCCAGTCTAAAAATAGCTTAGCCGGGTTGGGGGGTGGTGGGTGACACGCGCTTTGAGGCCGGGTCAATCGCAGTAGGGCGGGATGCGGGGAACCAATATCAGCTATAATCGTCGCTCTGACTAACCTACTTAAAATTTTGCATGAATGAAAATTTAAGAGATAATTAAAATAGGTTTTTTATTTACAGGAAGCTTTAAAAGAAAGAAGAATTGAAAAACGCTACGTTGCTGCTGATTCTGACCTTGTAGGAGAACTTCGAGGACTAAAACATCGTATTGCAACTTAAACTGACGCATCCGATTACCGCCAACTAACATGAGACTGAGTATTATTTTAGTATAGTAAATTAACGGCAACGGCAACCTGATAATCTTAATAAGAAACAGGCAACCAAAATGTAAAAAAAAATATTATTGTAACTTTTTTATCTACATTGATCACATATTGTTTACAATGGCTGATTCGAACAAAATTACTTGTCATTCGTCAGAAATTCGTTAATATTAACATATTAAGTAATTCATTAGTAAATATGAAATAATTGCCGTATGAATTCCTTAAAATAAAAAATCGACTTAATGTGTAATACGTATATCAAATCTCAAGTCTTTTCGATTCTTTACTAGTTTTGATAACGTAGTTGATTATAAATGAACGTACAAAATGTGACTATAATCATGAATATAGTGGAGGGTTGTTAGTGAATATTATGAGATTGGTAGTTTTTTCAAAAGAATCTTATGAAGGTTCCCTTCGTTTGGCAGCTACTTTGTCGCACAAATAATCGTGCAATTGTAAATATTAGATATCGTTCTTCTAAGACTTAGATAGAAAATAATACATCAAATTGTTTTAGGTATTTATTTTTTCTAATCGACGTGTTTTTTATAATTTGGTCAGGATTCGACAACAATTATAAGACTTAATCTTTTCTAATTTCTTCGCTAAGCTCTTACATACTCTCCGTCTATTATCTGTACATACAATGAGAGTAAAATCATCGCGTCCGTTCTGATTCAATCACAACACAACAAACATATTTTATATTTAAGAAGAACGCTAAAGAATCATTTTTTTATATTGAAAAAATTGCGGAGCGGACAAAATTTCTTAATATTATTCCATTTCACTTTATTATGAAATGTCTTTAATAATTTCTGTATCGAAAACTTCTTATTCTACAATTTTCTAGCAATCGTATATAAATTTTTGTACCTATCTTGTATTCATTAGTATATCTTTATCGGGTGCTATTTATTTTCTTTAAGTTCTATTCTACGGTCTAAGCAGATAATACTTTTAATCATTTTGCATAGCAAAAATGAAAATATAGTATACTTTTATAACTGTATTTAAGAATGATGTAATTCTCTCGAAAAGCAGAGGATTAGGTGATATTTTAGCTTTACAGCTTCTTAACTAATGTTTATATAGCAGTCGGTCTAAGAGACCTTTGTTAAAGATACTTTACTATTTATAGTTTGTGATATATATCACGTACAGCCAAACATTAACCATAACATTTTTATCCTGTCCTTTAAAATCATTAGGTATTTTACTAAATTGTCATCCTAATAATAATATTTTCTCATATTTTATGCATTCATCCTAAAGTAAATAAAAATTATCTTTATAAACTACATATCTGTTTAAAATAAAGTCCAAATACTTTTCCTTATGTATGTATGTTTGTATGTATAGATAAAACTGCTATCCTTCGAATCCCAAACCTTAGTTGGTAATAATATGGTAATATATTAGGGTGACCTGTAAAGTATTAGTAGCCTATGTTAATAAAATAAATGGTTCGTATAAATGTAAAATTTTCTTCTTAATTCCAGTTTTGATTTAATGGTGTACTTTATATTTGTAATAATTTTGTTATATTATTAATAATAGAATATTTAGTTTAATAATAGAGTAATGCCTGGAGATAAATAGTGAATATCAAAACTTTGCAAATGATGTAATCTATACAAGCCTAATGTTTAGATGTCTTTTGCGTGTTTTTGGCTCAAAATATCACTATACATACACGACTATCCATATATATTTTATAGAAAATGTATTAGTGTACTTTTTCGTTTAACTTGAATTAACTATGTCCAACTACGACGGATACAATTAAAAGTACTAAAAACAATTATATTATTGTATCCTATAAAGCGAAAAAAAAATATAAAATATATTCAATATACCTACTATTGTTTTATTTTTATATATCCTATTACGCTGCATGTTAGGTTCCACGATAAGCGTGGGTAATTCTTGGGGCTCAAGAGTTCTAACTCGCCATGTGAAAATCAACTGTGTGTGCTTAATGCTTACTGGTAGCAGTACCTAGAAAAAGCTCTTTCCTTCATCACGAATCTCTATCCATTCATTCTTGACCGGGGTGTGCAGCCGCAATAATACTAGCTGATATCCTCGTAGTTGTTAGGATGGAGCTATACGTTTTCTTGAACCCTTGAAAATTCTTACAGCTATCTAGTAAAGAACACTGTATTGGTCACTGACATTTAACGCGCTTGCTTGAAAAACCAAGTGAAGCGGGTTCAAATCCCGGGCGAGATCCAGGATTGGGTCCTCTAATGTTTTCACGTGTGAAACATTTTCAAAATGATTATCATATTTTGTCTCACGGTGAATCAAAACACCTTGAGGAAACCTGTTTGTCTGAAAGAACCTAATATGTTTTCGAAAGATATGTGTAGTCCGCCAACACGTACTCGACCAGTGCTGTGGACTATGGCCTGAACCCTCTTCGCATTAAGGGAGAAAAAAATATAAATATTAGTTCAAGATTTAATTGTTTTATTTATCTACTTTTAAACATTTATTTACAATAAAGAAAATTACAAATATACTTAATTATATATACAAAACAAATGTACACTTAATTGAAGAATAAACTAAAACTCAATAAAATAATCACCGCAAATTAAAATCTTTTCCTAGCTCTCCGGTGGAGAACCTAATTTCCCCTATACTAAAGAAGTAAGTAGCCTGTGTCCATCATATATATGGTAATGGGTGATGATAGATAGGTATAAAGAGGTGGGGAGGTTTCATTAATTGTTTCGGAATTTAATTTATTCGGAATTAAATTAAATGTTTAAATGTTTAAAATTAATAAACGATTAACTATATATAATTTGTAAATATTTCATACAATATGGCTTGGCCAAAAAAACTATGTATGATCTATGATGGTGTCAAAAAGGTACTGTTTAAAAAAAATAGTTGTAAGAAAATAATCTATTTGTCTGTATGTTTGTACGTAAACCTTATTATATTTACTACAGGAGTATTTACTACAGGAAAATCTTTCATTACCACGAAAAAACACAATAACTGGTTCTAACGCTGGCTAAACCTTAAAAAGGTACATAGAAATAATGTGCATTTTGTAGGTCTTAAAAATACCTACAGAAAAAAATCTTCAATATCTTCATAACATATGTTTATCTTTTAAAACGTACCTAGGAACGCAACCGAGCGAAACGAGGTTACCCTCGCTATTATTATTTTATATTATCACGGTAATGCATTACATTACCGTGATAATATAAAAGAAATAAATATATATTATATATATTATACAAATTAAATATAACAATGCCCCGACATTATACTTGCGTAAAAATGTTTTCAGAAATATAATATCTCTTATTTATCTAAGAAATATTAAATATTTACAATATTGAAAGCAAACGAATACATTTAACCTTTAACCTTTCAAGATAAAGGCAATTTTGTAAGAGAGGACGCCCACACGTCGCGTTGAACCGCTGTTCTTTTAACTTCAGTCAATAACAAGCTAAGCCTAATGAATTTTCTAGAAATTACCAACAGAATGCTTATAACAAAAATTAGACTTAATAAATCAATTATATTACGTAGATTTTGTCCTCTTTCGTTTTTTCTTTATTAACTTATCCCATTAATATTATAAGTGCGAAATTTTGGATGACGTAATGAACTTTGCTTTAGTTTTTTACCACTAAATTACAAGGTATTTTCAGTGGAAAAAACTAAAGCAATACATTATGGCACAACAAAACTCATAAGAATTTGGCATTCTAGGTAGGTGCCAATATCACGAAGATTGGACTATAGTGAATTATGGTATTATCGATATATAATCCCTCAACGACCGCGGACACGACGGCGTTACAGTTAACAATAGATTTCTTAGAAATTAAATTAATTTCTTAGAAATTTACCTGGAGGTGAAATGGCTTACGAGTCATGAGTGATTCGTGTTGCAGTTGCAATAAAAGTCGGTCGAAAAAAAGTGTATTAAAATCATTAATCTTAGGATATAGCCTATTAATCTAAATGAAATCAAACACTTTATTGCGAACTTGGGTTAGTACATACATTAGGATTTTGATAATAATATATTTTATGTTCAGCCAAATTCAGCCTTACAGCATGCAATATTTCAATAATTAAAATATACCTAAAATTACAAACGTTAACATATATTACATAATAACATATTATTCAGTATTATGTTTAACTTCCTGTGTAATATATGTTAGGTATATCATTCTTTTTTAGCAGTTAATTACAATACCTATATACCTGTTTAAAATTATATATTACACCTTATCCAACATATAGTCTTTAACTGAATAATACGTCTTTTCTAATAGAAATTTCTTCAATTTATGTTTAAATTCATTAATTTCATTAATTTCTAAAATATCTTTAGGAAATGATTATATAAAAGTGGTCCAGTACAAAACACACTCTTCGAGAAAATATTGGTCTTACAACGCGGGTGGCGAATCTACTTAATCCCTTTATCAAATCCCTTAATCAAGAAAATATAAAGTACTCCTATACATAAGGAATGAGCCTAAAACATTATTTTTAATAATAATCATTATACTTTATTTAACAAGGCATTACTATTACATTCATCCTATTGTACCCACATTTACTCGCACACACAAGGACGCACGTACATACATTAACATACACACACATTCGCTCACACGCGCACACACAGATACGCGCACACATACGCACACACACTTTTTTTAAATTTCTTATTGCTTTTTTTTAATTCGGTTTTTTCTCTGACTCCTGTAGAGCTTAACTGGAGGAATAGTCCTCTTGCTCCCGCTCAACACTCTAGGGAGGTGGGTGTAAATGAAAATTAGCATTGCTTGAGATATCGGTCTTACGAGCATCAGCTGAGTTATTACCCTTTGCCATATGTTAGTTTAAGCTTTTATTGATGCTGTTAACGTTTTTTTACTCTTTTTTTGTGGCAATAAGTACTTTTTAATTTATTTAATTATTTATCTTATATATAAAATTTCCATGTCACAATGTTTGTTACCGTACTCCTCCGAAACGGCTTTACCGATTTTTACCAAATTTTATATGCGTATTCAGTAGGTCTGAGAATCGGCTACTATCTATTTTTCATACCGCTAAGTGATAAGGATAACGGTGGTCCTCCCAGACCCCACCCCAGGGACGAACCCGAGCGGAGCGAGGGTGAGTCGCTAGTCAATGTATAAATTTTAAATTGAACGTGAAAAATTGTAATTTTTAAGTACCTATGTTTTAAGTAAGAAACTAAAACATGCTTTCTTAAAACTTTCTTCTTTTCTAAAACTTTCGTTGTATACGAAACCTAATAATTTCTCAAAAGTAAAGTAAATTAATGTAATGAAACTCGCAAGGAAGGTTATCGCATTCTAAAATCAGCCTATCAGTTCTATTCAATTAAGAAACCCAAAAAATGCTACAAATTAACCTTTACAAATTTCTTAATGACTTTCAAAACAAACTCTTTTAATGTTTCAAAACTTGATTTGAGACAATACAAACTCAACAATTAGGTACGTAAAACAACTTGTGTCCTTTTTGGAAGTTGGTTCATTTTAACCTTGCATTGCCCGCGGCTCCGCCCGCGTTCAGATTCAGGAAAACCAAATTCTTAGGTTTTACATATTTAGTATACTCTTACATTGCAGTTTTTGTATTTTTCCCAAAAATGAGATATTTATTATAGATATATAGTAAAAAGAATTCTATATGTTGACCCGGATAACCAGCTATCACCATACCAAATTTCATCGAAATAAAAAAACCCACTGGAGGGAGTGGGTTTTCCGTGATGAGGTAAAGGACAGATAGACAGACAGAGAGACAGACAAAAATTCTAAAACTATAGATTCGGCCTCTGTATCGATAATAATGCAAAGCATTCATCTAATATAATTATTTCGATACGTAAAACACATATGTAGCTACCTATTAGATATTTATATCTTAAAATATTGTCGGCTGGCACCAACTTCTAAAATATCTGATTAGGTACCTATCTATTCTAAATGAAATCCTCCGTTTAGTTATTTTTTACATTTTAGTGCCTTGAAGTCAGTTTTTATTTTTTTGAAAAAAGTTTTTCTAATATTAGTATAGATAGATTGACGTATTATATATGAAAAAAAAACCATCTTATAGAAATGTCACTCAATCACGCGGTCGCGGTTCCATACCTACGTGTATGTCGTATTATCTCTTTAACGATTTGTCCAAATTATATGCAGTGAAAGAGAAAAGAGAAAAGTGAAAGACACAGAGTCTCTCCCGTGACCATGGATGCTGTAAAGCATTCGAAACGTCGGGAACCAAAAATCAAAATAAATCCGCGAAATAATCCGAAAAGATAGTTTTATTTAAAATGACCTACCGATTTAAATTATTTTTTTAATATAAAAAACTACTTTTTAGGTATACTTTTAGGTATTTGATTAGGTATGTATTCTAAATGAAAACCTCCGTTTAGTTATTTTTTACATTTTAGTGCCTGGAACAGTTTTTTTTAAGTTTTTATTTGTCCAATTTTAGTGTAGACGTAATAAGCAGGTAATTTGTTAGAAAAAAGTTTTTTTTAATAACATGTTCGATTAAGCAATTTATTTTAAAAATTAAATTATTTGTTTATTTAATAAAAACCAATTGACCGATTTCGATAATATTTATATGGGACTACCTGGGAAGTATACTGTTATACTATAAATAATATAAATTATTAATTATATAAAATAGGATTTATATGTATTATTGTAGATTCATTATTTTATTCTTTATGTTGTCATTCTGATGTAAAATACTTAGATTAGAGTTTCCTGACGTTGTCATCTTGAGTGGAAAAAGAGCGGGAGCAGCGTTGTATTTTGTTTCATGACTTTTAAATAATGCGTCAGGCGTTACTCTCTGTTTAAAATAATAAAGACTGTTTGCTGTTACACTGAATTTTACTTGGCCTACCTGACCTACTTCTGAGATAGACTCGTAATAATACCCTTTGAAACAAAAAAAAATATTTCCAAATCGGTGAACATATATAAAAAAAAGATTCCGACGAATTGAGAACCTCCTCCTTTTTGGAAGTCGGTTCATAAAGAGGTAAAGTTTATGAGGTCTGTTGAGTTATGTGAGGTACGTTGTAGGGGATAATCTCTGGATCTACTAAACCGATTTACATGAAATTTGGTAAGAAGTTAGTTTGAGACCCTGGGAAGGACATTGGATATATTTATCCCGGAAATCTACATATAATATATTTATATCCGAATATTGATATATTTTTATCCCGGAATCATCCCTTAAGGAGATGTAAGTTTGTGTGGGGAAGCAAGCTAAGAACCAACCCGAGCAAAACGAGGGTGAGTCGCTAATTTGAAATAAAATGCAAAAAAACTTACCATACTATTGAGCTTTACAATATACTGAGGATCATAGTGATTATGACATCTGGCGGGAGAAACAGTAAAATTCTTCCCCATTCTTGCTTCTTGAATCTTGTCGCCATGACATGATGACATCTGACAATTCTGTTTTCAAACAATATGTCAGTTGTCACAACAATTTTTCAAATTTGAAAATAGAGTTATTTCAAATTATATTTTAAATATATTACAATTCACATGTTTCTAAAATTCCTTAATTAATGTATATAATAAGTGTACTTTTATAATAAAGTTAGAAAGATAATCGAGTAACAGTATCAGTTTCCCGTTATTGGAGTCCTAACATTCCACGTCAGAATCAACTAGTTTGATTTTCTCAAAGATGCGCAGGGCAAAAGGATACCAAGATCTGGACGATAATGTTGGAGAAATGCGGCAACCAGTACCACCTATGCCTCCACCGCAAGAAATAGAAATGGCGTCAGTTTCAGTAGTCCCTGATGGTCGGTATTGAAATTTGTTAAAAATAATTTGACTATATTCCCTTTACCACATTCTAATTGGTTCATTATTTAAAGTTATAAAATACTTAAGTAATTTATAGTTTATGTTGTATCATATTTTTAGACACTTTTACTGTCACTCAAGCCGTCAATGCCTTAGGCTTTGGATGGTTCCAAGTTAAACTATCTCTTTTTACTGGACTTTGTTGGATGGCTGACTCAATGGAAATGACTATATTAAGTATTTTATCACCTGCATTACATTGTGAATGGAATATAAGCAAGTAAGACCTGCAATTTCTATTAAAATTTAGAATAAAAAGTTTAATGTAACACAATAATGTATAATGCAAAAAGAAAAATATTATAATACTGCTAATTTGAAATAATGTTAACAATTACATGCTACAGAAATACCTACATGTAAAATATCAAATTTTTATTCACCTTAAAAATAATTATTAATTATAAAATATCTATTAAAATTGTGTGTTATTTTATATTTATATAGAAATAGTAGATAATATCGTACATATTTATAGATACCAACAAGCTTTAACCACAACAGTTGTGTTCATGGGAATGATGCTAAGCTCTACATTTTGGGGCAATTTAAGTGATAGATATGGCAGAAAAACTGTAAGTGCATAAGTACTTGGTTTGTGATAAATAATAAAAAAATTGATTTGCAATGTCTGTTATTATTATTTTTATTATTACATTAACAGCAAATGCATTAATTTCAAATAGATTTGTAAAATAGGATGTGTTTAAAAGAAAAGATAATATCAATATTATTTATTTGCAGGCACTTAGTATGTGTGGAGTACTATTATTCTACTATGGACTTTTAAGTGCAATTGCTCCTAATTTTCTTTGGTTATTATTTCTAAGGGGGCTTGTTGGATTTGCAATAGGATGTGTACCACAATCGTAAGTTATTTTAGCTTAATTTATATTGAGAGATTTACTTACAATTTTTATACTCGGAAATAATAGGAACATTTTGTGGTATTAGAAACTCATAATAGGTTCAAAATACATATGAAGTAATACTCTTTTATATTAAGTACATGTGGTTAATACCATAAATATTATAAATGCAAAAGTTTGGATGAATAAATGTTTGTTACTTAATCAAACCAGAACAGCTGAATCTGGATGAAATTTGGCAGATAGATTATAGTTTAAAATAGTGCATAGTTTACTCTTCATCTTGGATAAATAGAGTGGGTCAGATTTGTTTTTCTAGGAATGAACCTGAGCGAAGCATGGGTGAGTCTCTAGTACAATTTATCTCTCATCATGCTATAAAATAATATATAGTTTTAATGAAACTAGAAGAATTATAAAAATAATACATATTATATATGATTATTTCACTGTATTTAATGTGTCTTTAATTGCCTTGGTGGTGTGTCTAGTATGTATTTGATCCTTCTTGAAATTTTTAAATTGGAGTGTTTTGATTTCAGTGTTACATTATATGCTGAATTTCTACCCACAAAGCAGAGAGCCAAATGTGTTGTTCTGTTAGATGTAAGTATATTAATACTGTTTTTTTTTACCAATTTAATTTTAAAAAAATCTGTTATTGTGGAATATTTAAAATAAAGTATTTTGTAATTTATTATTATATAAAGCTATTTTTGTGGTATAGAAATAAAATGCAACAAGTTACTTAAAAAAAATTGTGTGGCATTCTAATATATATATATATATATATATATATATATATATATATATATTAGATTGTGTGATTCTAATATATATATATATATATATATTATATATATATATATATATATTAGAATGCCATATATATTATATATATATATATGACGTGTTATCCATATACTACGAACATCATCTTTGGTGGTTACTCATCTTGTGGGCGTTATCAGGGCTCAAATAATAAAGTATTCAATGCTCAATACACTTTAATCAGGGAAATCACAATGTTATAAACTTGAAACGGTAATTCTAATGATTTAGAGCTAGCGGGTTCACAGTCACCGATCATCGACTTCCAACTATAATCTCAAAGCAAAACTCTCTATGATCCACCATGATCAACCAACTTTACTAAACCACGTATCTCCTAAGAATGTCGTGATGGCGTCTCGACCCCGCTCGAGACTAAATCTCTGCTCTAAATTCAAAATCAGTTTAAAATCAATAAAAAGTAAATTAAAGAACATAGTGACTTTAAACAATAATAAGGTTGGTGACAGAAAAAGGTAACTAAATCCTCCTCCATCATATATATATACTAGCGGCTCACCCTCGCTTCGCTCGGGTTCACCTCTAGAAAAGCACAAACAGATCTATCCCACGGGAACAGTTCATTTTTCCGGGATAAAAATAAGTAACCTGTTGTTTGACCTGCAATATAAGGTATCAGCATGCAAAATTTGACTAAATTAGGTGCATAAGTTGTTGTGTACTGAGCTGTATAAGTTACTATAATTTTTTAACTATCCCACGGGAACTCTTTAATTTTCCGGAATGAAAAGTATCAAATTTCATTTAAATAGGTTCAATAGTATCGGAGATTAGCCCATACGAACAGACAAACAGACAGAGAAACAAAAAAATTGAAAAAAACCTGGATTTGTTCTATTTCTCTTCTTACGGGATGTAAGAAGAGAACTGACTCGTGTTTTAGCAATTTTTTCTCCCATCTATGTACAGACATTCGACCTCTACAGTTTTATTTATTCATATATGTACCTATATTCAGATAGAATAAATAACGTATAATAAAACACAAATATATAATAATGAAAATAGTTATAGCGAGTGTACCTTAGGAGATAGATATAATATACTATCGTATGTAGAACTTTTCTATAGACCTTTTTAAGACTTACAATTTTCTTGTACAATGTTTTGATCTATCTTTTAAGGTTGAGTCAACGTTAGCCATATAAATTTCTAAGGACAATTCGATAGAACCAGTTATTGTATTTTCCCGTGGAAATGATTAATTTGCCTGTCGTATAAAGTATTCTAAATGTTGACCCGAGCACTAAGTTTTATCACTATACAAAATGAAGTTAAAATCGGTTGAGTACTTTTTGTGCGAAACGCGCACATCGATTTAACTAAGTTTTATTATAGGTATAGATAAGAATAAATATTGCGAGTGTAACTTAGGAGATAGACATATACTATTCAGAACTTTTCTGTAGGACTTTTCAAGACCTACAATTTTTTAGTATATTGTTTTGATGTATGTCTTAAGGCTTAGCCAGAGGAAGGTTTCTAGGGAGGACTCGATAAAACCAGTTATTATATTTTCCCGTGGGAAAGAAAGATTTTCTTTAAGTAAAAGGTACCTAGGCAGTGGTATCCCAGTGGTAACGCGCTCGCTTGGGAAACCGAGTGAAGCAAGTTCAAATCCCGGGTCTAGTACCTCTGATATTGGCCAGCGTGGTGGACTATGGCCTGATTCACCTCGTACTTAAGGGAGGCCTGTGCGTGTGTTAAAAAGGGCTGAATACAACATACATACATACAAAAGGTATCCTAAATGTTGACTCGAGTAATAAGTTATCACTTCACCAAATTTCGTTGAAATTGGTACATTACTTTTCGCGTGAAACGCGCACACAAAAACAGACAAACAGACATACAGGCAAACAAACAATTTTTTTAATAACTATTGTTTTGGGGTCTATGTTGTGTACATAATACGTTACAAATAAACAAAAACATCTATCCCACGGGAAAAGTACGTTTTTCCGGGATAAAAAGTTACCTGTTTGTTATTCTGATGTATGAACTATATTATTGTAAAGTTTCATCAAAATCCAATCAGTGGTTTTTGTGTACTAAGCTGTATAAGATACCATAGTTTTTTGACTATCCCACGGAAACTCTTTAATTTTCCGGGATGAAAAGTAGCTGATTTGTTTTTGTCATGTATGAACTATATTGTTGTAAAGTATCATTAAAATCCAATCAGTAGTTTTTGTGTACTAAGCTGTATTAGTTGTTATAGTTTTTTAACTATCCCACGGGAATTCTTTAATTTTCCGGGATGAAAAGTATCTAAGATGTTGCCCGGGGATATAAGGTACCACCATGCAAAATTTTATTTAAATAGGTCCAATAGATCCGGAGATTAGCCCGTACAAAGAGAAAAACAGATAAACAGCTCGCACGGGTTCGTCCATACATACGAATATGTTGTATTATCTCTTTAACCATTTGTCCAAATTATTTGCAGTAAAAGGGAAAAGTTTTTATTTTAAACATTTTAGATGATAAATTTACTTATTTTGATAAGAATTCATAATTGTTGATAATATGACCAATAAACATGACCTACCGATTTAAATTATTTTTTTATTATAAAAAACTACTTTTTGTGACTTAAATATAAAAGTTAGACATATGCTGTCGCTGACTTTTTTGTAGGCATTATTAAGCTCTACAACTTTTCTCTAGAACATAATCATATATCTCTCATCGTTAAGGCAGCGTTCGTAAGAAACGTTTTCGTTCGACCGTTTTTTCTCCGACTTACTTTGCAAATCCGACTACCACGAAAAAGCCTTTTCATTTTTCGGGTTAATATATAGCCTATGACACTCAGAAAGAACGTGGCTTTCTATTGGTAAAAGAATTTTGAAAATCGGTTCAGTAGATCCAGAGATTACCCCCTACAACGTCACAAACTCACAAGATCACAAACTTTACCTCTTTATAATATTAGTATATATATATTACATAATGAGAACGATTATATAAAATAAATCAATGCATCATTTAATTTTCAGTGTTTTTGGGCCCTGGGTGCATGTTTGGAAGTAGCATTGGCACTGGTGGTTATGCCAACTCTTGGTGTACATTGGCTTTTGGCTTTATCTACCATACCTCTACTTATATTCGCCCTAATATGTCCAGTAAGTTGTCATAGTTAAATTATAACATGTTAAAATATACAAGACAGTGGTAAGCGCTTGGGAAACTGGGTGAAGCGGGTTCAAATCCCGGATCTCGCACCTCTGATATTTTCATGTGCGAATCATTTTCAACATGATACCACTTGTCTTACAATGAAGGAAACATCATGAGGATACCTGCATGCCTGAGAGAAGCTAGCAAGTTTTCGAATGACATGTGAAGTCCGCTAACCCGCACTTTGCCAGCGTGGTGGACTATGGCCTGATCCCCTCGTATTGAAGATTTTTTGTCTGTCTCTCTGTTAGAACGAAACAGCTAAAATGCATTTTGCAATAACACAAGGTCTTAATAAACACCAAAAAAAGATGGATATTAGCCCAAATAAAGGTCAACATATAAATACGTCTACACTAATATTAAAAAGTACGCAAAGTTCGTAAGTTCAAGTGTAGGGACTAGGGGTAATCTCTGAAACTACTGATCTGATTCTGAAACTTCTTTCAATACTAGGAAGCTATACTACGACGGACTGCTATAGGTTAATTTTTATTACGAAAAAATGTGTTTACTGTCCAAAATCATAATAGATTTCATTGAAGTCGGAATACACTGGGTGTTTAGACACTAACAAAGCGAGGGTAAATCGTTAGTGTTTTTATAAAATAACTAGCGCGGCCGCGACCTCTATAAAACTTTGGCTTTATGGAAAAAGTTTTTTTTGGGTATAGGCTCATTAGCTTAAAGCACTTAAATATGTTATTAACATCTGTTTTACAATAATGTATGGAAGCTTGTCCAATTTGTTGACATTTATGATTACTGCTCCGCTCCCTTGGGTTCCTCAATATACGGGCTATCTATTGCAAAAAGAATTTGACAAATGGGATTAATAGTTAGTTCCTATTTCCTATACAAACAATATAAAATAATATAACCGAATTAAGAACCTCCTCCATATATGGAAGTCGGTTGAAAAAAGGATTTCATAGATTGTACTTTTTCATTGCATGGAAAATAATAGTATAAATTATAGATATAACTAAGTTCCATATCAATTGGCTTCAAATCAATTCGGCATGCTCCTTTATAAATGCGAGGATATGCTCCTAGATTGTTGTAATTAAAAAATAATAAAAAAATATCACTTAATATTCGAAAGAAGTCACAGTAGTAAAAAAGTACATATAACTTGTACAAGTAAAACTTATAGTTGTATTTAATAAAATAATTATAATACTTTAAAAATGTTTACAGTCTTATCTTGGATAAATAAACGAGGTGAGAACTATTATAAAATATTTGTTATTAGTTTTGGATTACTGAATATTTTTTTAATAACATTTAATATTGGCCTTAAACTTTTAATATGTCACGATGTAACTAAAAAATTATCATATGTAGATAATAAAATATAAGTTATAAGGAATGGATTGAAAATCTAGGAAAATATGGAGTAAATCAATTACGTAAAAAGGAAAAATTGCTCATTGAAAATCACTTACTTCATTGTAAATTTTAGTCACATTTTAGTGCTTTAAAGACATAAAACTAAACAATCTCTAATATATATTATTTATAGCCTTATCTAATAAAGCAAGGTAATTTTTATCGTATAAGTGTTTTGATTTTACAATTCAAGTATCAGTTTTAAAATAACTTTATTTTAATAAATAATGTGAAATTTTTATTTTAGTGGCTACCAGAATCAGCAAGATTTCACGTCGCAAGTGGTCAACCAGATAAAGCTTTAGCGACACTTGAAAAGGTATTGAAGAAATCGTTACATCATACTTAATATTTTTTACATATCTTTGTCGTCGATGTCTTTTATTGAATCTAGTAAATACAAAAAAATAAATTGTTCCTTAAATAAATAAAGGTTGGTGCTGGTATAAAATTAAAATCGGCCAAGTGCAAATCACCAAGGTTTTCATAATATCAAAACGTTAAAGGAAGGGTAAAAATATTATGTCATACGATTTCATATTTTCTTTATGGATGGAAGCACTATTACTTTTAAATATATTGTGTAGTAACATAAGAACATTAAAATAAAATTAAAAAATGGGTGCGTGTAACCTATACGCGCGGTTGAAGTAAAACTTCTTTGGCAAATATGGCAATTAAATAAAAAAAAAAACAATTATATAAGGCATATTAGGCATATTACAATCTTATATTTATAGAATATCATATACGGAAAGAATATAATATTATATACATACATATGTGTCAGACAATAATAACAGTTACCATGACAATGTATTCTATCTCATTCTCTCGTCGGTTTAATTCTATATATTTATGTGATTGTCTCTTTTTTTAGTGTCGCATTTTCGTTTTAAATCACAATGATTCTAAAGAAGTTACACTTCATATTCAGAAAGTGCTTCTTATATGCGCTCTATACGGTTGTATAAGTGCAAGTATGCAAGAAAACTATGTTTTCGGATCTTTTAGAGAAATTCTCTCACGTGACCATGATTTCTATAAAGCTTTGGAAACGTCGGGGACCAAATATTTGCTCGAATTTAAGAAAGTATTAACTTTTTTAGATAGCAGAAGATAACGGACGTCCTATGTTACTAGGTCGCCTCGTATGCGACGATTCTGTGGGAATCGGACAGCGAGGTCGCTTGAAACATCTGCTTATACCCCAGTTAAGAAATACTAGCCTCCTACTTTGGGTTATATGGTAAGTAGAATATATTGTACAAGAACTGTGTGTGTAACTATGAATAAATAATAAGATGATAATAAATATAAGATATTCTAGGCAGCATCTATTTTTAATATGTTAACATCGAAACCAACACCACCAATGTTTCAGTATAAAATCTAACACCAAATTATTGCTAAAGGTCATTGAGTCCACATCACGTAAAAGAAAATGTCTTAGTGTTTAAAAACTGGTGGGCAAAGTCAAAGAGATTATACAAGTTTTAATTTTAAATAACAAATTTTCTCAAACACTATCAGCTTGCTATCGTTTCACTCGAGCGCGGCCTCTAGATGCCTAACAGTGGTCTATATCATAAACTACTATTACTTCGTAGTCTAATCGGAATCCGGTTTGAGAACAAAATATTGAAAACCTGAAGTTTTATGATTTTAAAATGTTAGTAGGTATATAAGGAATAGAAATTCGTAAAATGCCCCCGATGACCATCTACCCCCGAGAAATGGGGGGACACAAAGCGTTGAAAAATAGTTTTTTTCAATTTCCGGCTTACTGTGACGTTCTATCGAAAATGTTTTCTTCAAAAAATTATAGGTCTAGTAAAAATCGACAACTTTTATAAATAACACTTTTTACAATAACCGCAAAGTTTTCGAGATATTTGCAGAAAACTCGGTTTTTTAATTTTTCTTGGTTTTTTATCTCTAATTTCTAGAATAATCTTTTGATTTTCATAAAACTAAGGCAATGTAATCTTCGAAATACATATAATAAATAAATAAAATGAAATTGAAATGTTTAGCCATTTCCGTGAAAAGTATGTTTATGGTCTCGAAAGGCTGAAAATCACCCCCAACTTTAAGTGGACATTTACATTAAAAAAAATTTTTTGTTCAATTTTTAAATAGGGCTCATTCTTTTCGTCTTGAACTCTACTTTTTGAAATAATGAAAACATTGTATAGTCGTCCTGTAAAAACGTCCTTAAAAATTTAAATAATTGGAGAAATCGATAATGTTTACTTTGTAAACTACATATTTTTCATTCATGTTCATATCTGTCCATGTTCATATATTTATGCTCGTGACTGCAGTACCAAAAATAATCCAAATCAAGAAGTAAGACACATACAAACTTTCGCAGTTATAATTATTCGTACGGTAATTATTAGAGTTAGTCACTAGTCACTAGTGCATAATCATATTTTTTTTTTATTTCTATGTTGCGGCTATAAGTATCACTTAGACCCTTTCTCGTCTATTTTGATCTCCGCATATTATACTAAAGTAACCTACAAACCCCTGCCGCTATAATAAACGACAAGATTTGCTTAGGGGTACTATAATTTCATCTGGGCCTAGAAACTGTTTCCAAAGATGAAAACTGCTCTTATGCTAGTGCATAATATTCATTGTTTCATCAACGTTAGGATGTCCTGTGCGTTCTGCTACTATGGTCTAGTACTAATGACGACAGAGCTGTTTGAGACCGACGCGGACAGCGGTGAGGAGGCGTGCGCCGCCGACTGTCGCCCTTTACAGACTACGGACTATATGGATCTACTGTGGACTACTTTGGCCGAATTTCCTGGTGAGAATATTTCTTTTTTTTTTAATTATTATATACACTAGCACACCTTACCGATCTTGTACTTTGTGGCCTAAATCAAAAATCGAGCACAAAGGTTTCCGGGAAGAGATCGCTCATTTAGCGATAAGGCCTCCTGTTGAGAAATTTTTTCTTTCTTTCATTTTGTCGATTTATATAAAGTTTGCTTCCCAATACAAACTTTCATCCCCATTTTCGCCCCTTTAAGGGATGATTTCCGGAATAAAAAGTATCCTATGTCCTTCCCAGAGTCTCAAACTATCTTCTTACCCAAATTCATCTAAATCGGTTCAATAGATCCAGAGATTACTGCCTACAACGTCACAAACTCACAAACTTTTAACTCTTTATAATATTAGTGTAGATAATAATTTATGAAACTAAGACGTACGTACATCAGAGGTGTTAAAGCCCCACGTTGATTATTATGGGAGCAGATATGTGGGTAAAATCTAAAATTTTATATTTTTGTGTATTTAATATGTACAGATGTTGCATGCACACAACTATTTTACGCATATTTATACATAGGTGTAGGTATATAGTATTCTAATAATAAATTATTATATCGACTTGATTTTTTTTAATTATACTCATTTTATCTTCACAGGTATTTTCGCGACAATATTCGTAATTGAAAAGTTTGGTCGAAAGAAGACTATGGCATCCCAGTTTGTTATATTTGCTATTTGTGTCTTCGCTTTAGTATACAATTCAAAGTAAGTTATATTTTGTAATTTATAAAAATACTAGCGACTCACCCTCGCTTCGCTCGGGTTCGTCCCTAGGTACGTTTTTAATTAAAATGGATATAGTATGTTATCCTTAAGAGATAGACATATGCCATCGCGGACTATTCTATAGACCTATATAAGATACACAATTCCACCATACATTATTTTGTTATATCTCAAAGGGAATATTTTCGTTGAAAGCTCCCAGACGTCTTATTTTTTCCGACACCTTCAACAAATATCGTATTACATTTTAGCCAATGTATACAAAAACTTAAATAATTATATACTAAAATCTTCCTCTTGAATTACTCTATCTATTAAAAAACCCGCATCAAAATCCGTTGCATAGTTTTAAAGATTTAAGCATACATAGGGATATAGGGACAGAGAAAATGACTTTGTTTTATACTATGTAGTGATATACCTAGTTATTTCTTTATTAAGTCGCACTTTTATTAAAGTATTTTTTTGAAATGTTTTAATATTTTTCTGATCAGTAGAAGAAATAGCTTGTGAAAAAAGAAAGAAGATAGAACCCATAAGAGGTTTGCTTAGCTTGGTTCTTTGCATTGAATGCTCCAAAAAATTATTAGCCTTATATAAAATATAATATATTTTTGTACCTAATATCTAGTCAACTCGCCGCCTAATTTACCATTGGTCGACACCATACGTACGTTTATCAAAATGAAAATATGTGTAATGTTTTTCAGCCGCACATTCTTAACTTGCATACTATTTCTGGCGCGAGGTATCATCGCGGGGTTGTTTCAAGCAGCATATGTCTACACACCTGAGGTAAGTCATACATTTTAATATAATTACTGTCCACAGGAAAGTCAGATTTTTTATATTTATATATTTGTAAAAGGAAAAAAAAGTTTGTGTGTACTTATTTATGTACGCATGAAAGAACTTATATACTTCTTTAGCGTAACAGAACAAAAATAGCTAAAGATTTCACAACTCTATGTTTGTAAAAGCAATGATAAATTAATAAAAGAAATGTATTTTTTCTCTCCACTGATATAAAACACATGCTATAGATATATGAATATTTGAGAAATTACTTTGAATATTGTTGAAATTACTTTGAATACCACTAAAGTATTGATTAATTAATTAAAAAAAAAGGTTTAAATAAAATTTAAGAAAAGATAAACCCTTTTTTTTTTAAATTAGTCTAGCTAGAAAAGTAAGAGAAAACGTAAGATGGACGTAGAGCACCAGAGACTTAAGAAAATTTAAAATTGTTTGCGGTTTTAACTTTAAATAATGAAACTATCTTTTCTGATTTTGTCGCGGAATAGTTTCATTTAAAATATTCGCGCAAATCTAAAAAAGTATTATGTGTTTAAGGTGTATCCAACGGCCCTGAGGTCTACAGCAGTCGGCGCTTGCAGTGGGGTGGCGAGACTCGGCGCTATGATCACTCCTTATGTAGCACAGGTAATATATTATAAACACATAAGAACAATAGTAGAAACTTATTTACATAAACCTGACAATTAATTATTTATTTTTAATAAAAGCACTTGTATTAATTTCTGGTTTGTGAATAAAATTCTACAAAAACTATCCAGTGATACACCGATTCGTATATCGCCCCAGCTCGAGAAAAAAGTAAAGTTCGACTTCAATTAAAGTTATACTTGTAATTGTTACTGACAGTAAACACATTTTTTTCGGTATAAAAATAGTCTATGCTCTCTGCGGTAATATCACTACATACTATAAAATAAAGTCACCCGTCGCGTCTGTCTGTCTGAACGCAATAAACTCAATAACTAGCGAACGGATTTTCATACGGTTTTCATGAATAAATGAAGTGATTCATGAGTAAGGTTTAGGTGTACAATTCATTAATGTTTTGTGTAAATTGGCTGAAATATGACGATGATTGTTAAAGATGCCGGAAAAATCATGCCGACTGGAAGCTTTATGGCGTGCGCCGCGTAAAGTAATAATTTAATATGAACACAATGTATTACAAAATTATTCCTCTTACAGAAATCTTCCTATTAAACTGTAGCAAGGGACGTGTAGGGACACACCCGAGCGATACATGAGTTAATAAAAAAAACTTGCAAAATCGGATCAGTAGTTTTAGAGATTACCCCCTACATACAAACTTTTCCTTTTTATATATTAGTGTAGATAATTATACCTAATACCATTTTTTTAGGTTCTGTTGAAGAACTCAATACTAACAGCCACAGCGGTGTACTCGGCGGCAGCGTTAGTCGCCGCCGTCGCGTGTCTAGCCTTGCCGATTGAAACCAAGGGCAGAGAACTAAAAGATACAGTCACAGCTACTGGATAAACCTTTTTACTATTAAACTTAATAAGAAAACAGTATGTTTTAAACCAAAACTATCTTTTCGAATTTTTTTGACGTCTAAAACCTTAACATCTATCGTAACCACGATTGCCCTAACTCTAAAGCATTCGAGACAGGCAAAAATTAAAATAAATCCGCGAAAAAATCCGAAAAGGTAGCTTTAATGTAATATTTTAAAATATCAATAATTCGCGTAAATCTCTTAGATTATGAAAACAATATTTATTAACAATCTCCAAGCAAACACTTATAAATGGTAGAAACTTTGCAAACCTGATTATTTTATTTATTCAGTAGTTAAGGTTTGAATGTTTTGGTCACTGTTATAGAAATATTCTTCTGATATGTAAATAAATATGGAATCAGTAAATGTACAACGAATGAAATAGTAGACTCATGACGTTCAGTAAAAAATTGTAATAATTTAATGCTGAATAAAATATTTTAATTTTAAATTTAGACATGTGCATTTCCTTGGAGACTGTCAATTTTTAAACTAATGTTAATAAAGAATCGAATCATGAATGGTGGAATGCTGATGACATGAAGTTCCATCTTTACCATAAGGGCACAAGGGGCACGTGCCCAGGGCCCCCAGCCTCACGAGGGCCCCGAAAAGATAACATTTTCGTTTACATGGAAAAGAGAGAAGCTTAATATTTTAATCTATAAACACTGCACTGTAAATGAATAACACGGCATTGTACAGTTATCGAAATATGTAGATCAACAAAACTGTCTCAAAAATTGTTTAAGAGCATTGTGAAGCTGTAAATTTTCATACAAAAAAACGATAACGTTTTTTCCCCCTTAAACATAGTCTAATTTTCATAATTTTTTGGAAATGTTGTAGATATAATCGAAATCTAGGTTCGTACGTTTTTATTTTTTAGAAATATTGCGTACGATAGAAGTTATTAGCATCTAAATATCTATATTTTTGACCTAAAAACTTCCTCCAGCATTTTTTTTTATTAATCTAAACTGAATTACAAAAAAAGGAAAACGTACAGACCTAGATTAAGGTGTACTGAATCTAATGATATCAAAATCGTCTCATTTCGTTAATGTTTAGGGGGGTGAAAACGTTATCGCCTGAAACAATATTTCAGAAAGGAAATGTAGGTAATTGCCTTTAAGACTTGCAACTCTCTCTATCGCACCATACGGGTCGGGGGCAGGGGCATATTGTAGACTGTAGTGATGTTGAAGTTGCTATCGATATTATTATCTCCTAGGGAGGAGAAGGTAATATCGATATATCGATCGATACTGAAAGGATTCAATCCAAAGTTTAGAATTTTATTTTACTCATATTTCTATTCCTTATATACCTGCTAACATTTTAAAATCATAAACCTTCAGATTTTCAATAAAAAAATTCTTTTAAAAATAAAAGGATCCCGATTAGTCTATTAGTACATAAACAACAAAAAATACTAAAACTTTCAACTTTTGGAACGAGATTTTTGTAATTGATCTAAACTACTTATTTGTTTTTTTTATGATTTTTTGAAGTCATCAATCTAAACAAGTCAAATTTTAAATGATATTCGCCACAAAATTGTAATTTAGAGTTATTTCAGTTTATGAATAAAGGTGCGATGTAACTTGTAGGGAATGTATATTGTACGCAAACCGTAGATATTAGATAAACTTTGAAATTGCTCTTGCGCCGAGTCGCGCCGCCCCCGCCCCCGATAGTGTGCATGAGAATTTGCGTATGTTGTATTTGTGTTGTTCACTGCCGGGGGGATGCAAAGCGGTATGAAACAGATAGCATTTTTTTAAATACCTACTCTCGCCGCGTATCGGCACTTCACAATCCTCATAAGATGCCTGGTTATTGCAATTAATCTATTAAAATCTCATCAATTTGAATCTCATAGTATTTAGAATTTAGATTAATAGTTGTTATTCGCAATTTTGATATTATGTCGGTTTCCATTAGATTTCCCTAGTGGCTGTACGAAACTAACGACAGCATTTAACAATTCTCTTTACTTAAAATAATTAAAAATTTATTAGTTTGACCTATACCTAATTATATAGACTATTTTGAATAAAACTATCTTTTCGGATTTTTTCGCGGATTTATTTGGATTAAATATTCGCGTAAATCTAAGAAAGTATTATGTAGACTAATTATTTAGTCTGTATACGTGGAAATTAGGACCTCTGCACACGATGATTTTTAACGCACTGCGCAAGCATGCGCGCTTGTCATGCGTTTGTATCGAAACAAACGCAAATATTCTGTATTATAAGTTTATCAATGCAGAATATGCCCAGTCATATGTTTATAATGTGTATTATAAACATGATGTGTGTACATCGTCGGTGAGTTTATAAAACGTGGTGTGCGCAGACCCTTTTTTCAGACACTTCTAATAAAACTAAAGTATAAAAAAGTAAAGTTGGCGCTCAAAGGCGACTAATAGACCAAGGACAACCATTTGTACGATCGGTCGTAATTCCCTTTCCTTTCAACCCAGCAATAACCTATAGACAGTATCGAGTTTAGATTTATTTTTGACCGATTGTTGCCGGGTTTTGTAATTTGTACCTGACGGAATCATATTTGTTCTGGCCGACAAGAAGTTGAAGAGCCATACAACAGATGACTGGCTTCTAAATTAGTATAGCGCTGTTCTACACTTGCTTTGCGATTCCATAAATAATTTAGTTTCACTTTTATTTTATTTATTGGAGAGATACACCGTGACTATAACACTATAATTATTGTACAATATACATGCAATTCGGTATGATTCGCCTTTACAAGTGTATACAGTATTTTATAATAATAATATATTTCCTAATTCGTTTGTTCGTTTCAACTGAAACGCGTCTATTGCTGGACATAGGTCTCCACCAAAAATTTGCACGATTGCCGGTCTTGTGCCATCCGTGCCCAGTAGGTTCCATCGACTGACGAAATCGTCGCTCCACCTTGTAGGAGGCCCGCAGTTCACCCTCCGCTACGTGGCCGCCACTCAAGAACTCTTCGTCCCCAGTTGCAGAGGAGCTCAAGAGGGGATTTTTGCAGATACTCAAGTGCGGCAGATTAACACCTGAGTACCTGTACCATAGTATAAGTCCTCTAATATAAGACTGTCTAGGGCAGTCGATCAAAATATTTTTAAATATTTTGATAAGGTAGAAATACTTGAAACCGTCAGATTAAGGTATGGTGGGCTAATTACATCCTGAAAAGTGTGCAATTTAATAATCTGCCAATTTGCACAAGCCGAAGAGGCAAAAGACGAATATAAAGTTTATGTTGAGTAACTGCAAAAATCCCCTCTTGGGCTCCCCTACAGCGATCGTCAGTTCTGCGAGCGGTGAGCCCCGCCCACTGCCACTTGAGAATTAACTCGACTAAAAAAAAGTCTCCGACGAATAGAGAACCTCCTCCTTTTTTTGAAGTCAGTTAAAAATACCGGTTCATACTACAGTCTGTAGGAGCCCTAAGTCGTTTATTACATCAACTTTGCTGAAACTATATACTGATCATGGTCTGATTTTTCAAAAATACTCATAGTTAAGGTTTATACTTTATAGCGTGCCTTTTTTATTAACAGTATTTGTTTCTTTATTTACTTATTCCTATAACTGATTTTACACTCGATTTACTATAATTTCGCAATTATTTGATTCCGCATAAAATTATTTTAGTGTATTTACTTATCGTAATGTTACGATATGTAAATAGTCAAATTCAAGTATGTTTTGTGCCTGATATAAATATATTCATGTCAAAATTTGTATTGTTTGTAATACACCATTCATTTACTCCACATACGAGCTTCCAGTACTGTTTTTATAAGTATTAATTGCATAAATTAACAAACTTGTGATAATTGATAAGTACTTAATTATTGATATTAAAGACTAAAGACTATAGATAATATTTTGTGTTGTATATAGGCTGATAAGTTAAAGTCAAAACTATATTATAAATTAAGGATTCCAAAAATTAAATCTCATTAAAGAAATGTCCTACGCTAAAGCTAGCTTAGCTTGTAATGGTGTTTCATTATTTTGTGCTTATATTTAAACAACCTATATATACTGAAACGAACAATATTTATGTAGCTTTTATACTATCTATATTATAATTCACTAATTATAAAACTACGGAAACATTCTGATCGACTTTTATATTAGCCTGTTTGGAGATATTTGGCACTAGCTCATTGTGACGTCATAAATAAATTACTCTTCGCATACTCTAGCATGTGTACCTAGGTATATGTATACCTAAGTATTATTTATAATTGGACGGCACATTTTTAAGCCATCACTATCTTATATTTTATATTTATTTAGCATAGTAGACTATCTAACGGGTAATTAGATAATGTTTCTATAAATTAAAGCAACTTTTTACATTGCTTTTATTTTCAGCTGTTTACAAATAAGACTTATCAGTAATTCGTCCTTTAAATTACGATTACGTAAAGCTATAACAAACGGTATTATTTATAGCGTACAGGTTTATTGTCATCGACATGCAGGTGATGAGTTGAAAATTTAAAATACATATTTTACTAGGCGTGTTCTATTAAATTAACACTAATGAATTATGCTGTACATTCAATAAATTCATTAATATTAAATTAATATTAATGAATTTATTGAATGTACAGCATAATTTTTTATCCTTATTAATCAAGTCTCATTTTCCTGTTTACTGATATCCGTGCCCACTTAAAGTTTCACTTTTCTCTCACAGTTTATAGAGAAATATTTACTAAACGATACATTTCCACGGGTCATTATTATAATTTATATGCATCATTTTATGACGTATATGCTGTAAATATTTTTACAAAAAATGTATTGAAAATTATTATCGAGCCTTCTGTTTATTAAGTTTTAAATATTTGTCATAATTTCTTGTATCATGTAAAAAATCTATAATTTTCATATAAATGTATTATATTATGTACTTAAGTAGCTTTATCTGAGCTACTACTGAACTGCAAATATTATAATGCTGTCAAAAAATAATGACTTTCTTATTGTCATCTATATATATAATAAAACTGTAGAAGTCGAATGTCTGTACGTAGACAAAAAATGCTAAAAACCGAGTCAGGGGGATGTAAGAAGACAAATAGAACAAATACAGTTTTTTTTTTCAATTTTTTTGTTTCTCTGTCTGTCTGTTTATCTGTTTGTGCGGGCTAATCTCCGTATCTATTGGACCGATTTAGATGATATTTTGCATGGTGGTATAAGGGTGCCCGGGGATATAAGGTATATCCCCAGGCAACATCTTAGATACTTTTCACCCCCATAGTTCCATAGTTAAAAAAGTATAATAACTTATACAACTTAGTACACAAAAAATACTGATTGGATTTTAATGAAACTTTACAATAATATAGTTCATATATGACAATAACAATCAGCTACTTTTCATCCGGGAAAATTAAAGAGTTCCTGTAGGATTGTCAAAAAACTATAGTAACTTATACAGCTTAGTACACAAAAACTACTGATTGGATTTTGATGAAACTTTACAATAATATTCCATACTAATATTGTACATGTGAAAGTGTGTTTGCTTGTTTGTCTTTCACGAAACTTTTTCGAAACGGATTGGCGTATTTTTTTATGGAAATAATTGGCGGCCTGGCAAGTGACATAGGCTACTTTTTACCGTGGGAAATTATCTCTTTCCCACGGGGAAAGACGTTAAAATACAACCCAAAAAAATATTTATGATCAGAATTACTTGAAACTTAATAAAATTAAATAAATACGCGGATTAGCATTTTTCGAAATTCATCCTATAAGAAGGTAAAATAGGGATGAAAGTTTGTAAGAAACTATCTTTTTAGACATTTTTTGTAGTTCTAGCGCGAGCGAAGCCGCGGGTTTTCCTAGTATTTTATAATAATAGTGTTTTCACGGTAACAGTAATAGGCTGTAATTTTATGCTACCATTTTTTTGTTTTCATATAATTGTTTCATAATTTTAAACCAAATATAATTTATACTAAATGTTATTAATATTTTACGATTAATGTTTTATGACACCTTACATTTTTATAATAAATTTGCACTGCTTTTATATCGTTTTTTATTTATGTACTTGTGTAGAATGTAAGCAATAATTATTTTTTTTAATAATTTTAGTCATAAGATTTAAACGTTTTTCTTTCTACATAAAGGAGGTAGTTCAAATGTTGACATCAAAGATAATAAAACGAAATAAAATTCCACAATCTAAAATTATTTATTAAGAGTTTTCAACACACTCTTAGTAAGTCATTACTTCATTCAACATAAACTTTAATCACTAATATAGAACAAACACAAATGTCACTAAGAAATTTAAATGCCAAAAAGTGATTATACTTATAAACCTTGAATTATTTTCCATATTTCCATATTTGTTAATCATATTTATTTTACTTAAAAATAGAAATAAATGACTTTACAATGTGCTGCTGCACTCTTTGTTCAATCAAAATATATTTTCATCATGTTATTCATCCACAAAATAAACTTATTAACTGTAGTACAAAAACATAAAATTACATGAAATTAAATTCACTGGTAGTTGTGTCATAATATAAAATTATCCTCTAAAGCTGATTTATTTACTCAGTCAAATAATGTAATGGCATGACATCCAATACCATATAAATTGATTCTGGATCTTTAACAATACGGATAGGTACTGTACTAAATTTTACAATAAATAGGAATACTGGCTAAGTCACTAAAATATATTCCCATAATATATATACATCTCATAGCCTCCATTTATACTAAATTTAAGTTACAAATTATTTCTAGTGTTCAAAAATATAAACTAACTTCCTATAACATATTAGATGACCTGTTTAAAAACTTTTTTAATATCGTAGGAATATTCATTACTTCATTAATAATAAAATACAATTGTGGTAATCATGGTCAAGTAAAAAAAATACAGTAACCTTTCTACTTGGTATGAGTCTATTTTAAACAAAATTATATGATACTATAGAAGTACCTACTGTTTTACACAATGTTGTTTTAAATGTCCATTATATGAAATAATATATTTCTAAAATTATTTGTTTGACAGGAGAAATGAGATATCAATCATCAATAAAGCAAATCCCACTAGAAGTCATCATTAATTTTAGTACTTCAGAACTTAATGAGATCAAATTATACAAAGTCGCATAGTAAATACTTTCTTAATACGATGAACTCTTATTAAAAACGGTGGGATCTTTTCATTTACCTCCATAAGTGTTCAAAAACTTATATTTCTAATATAATTGAAATAGAAGGTTAAAGATTTTAGCATTATGTTATAATAATAATAAATTATCACTAATATTATTAAATATAAAGACAATAATTAATTTCACTATATTAAAGTGATGTAATGAAAGTGTGATTACTAGCTTTAAAGGGCTGCCATATTTTGAGATAACTCTTAACACTTTCTATAATAGCTTACCGTCTAATGTATTATTAATCACATATACATTCAAATATGAAATAGCTAATGTGCATTACAGCAGCCATATAATTTAGCCATATAAGTTTAAATTCAGAATTTTCAAAAATAAATGGTATTTTATGTTTACTTAACAAAATTACATTATAATTTGGAAATTGTCTTCTTCATAAAATTTAAAAAATAAATTGCAAGTTTTCAAAAAATAACTAAATTGAAAATATTTTAGTTATTTTAAAGAGTTATTGTAAAATCAATGTCTTATAGAGCTGCCAAAATACTTTTTAATATTATACATTTCTACAAATGTCTAATAAACTAAAAACATTCTATTCTTTGTACTAGCATCCAGTCAGATTTTAATTTAAGCATTATCTTATTAATCATCATCTAATTCAATTACAATCGGTTCTGCATTATCAGTGGCCTTAGTGAATTCTGTCTTTAGCTGGGTTAATAACGTACATTTTGGTATCTTCAGTTCCTCAGCTTCATCTACTAGTAGTTTTAACTTTTGTAATCTTCCAATGTCTGGAGCTGTAGGTAAAAGAATGTTTTTCGTTTCTGTCATCCATTTATCGAAACTATTGACTCTAAAGTCAATTGTTTGTAACATAATATGTAATTCATCCATATCGTATCGGTAAAACAAAGTTTTCTTTTCTAGTGCACATGAACAAAATTCTTCTGAACTTGCATGCTGCAAGCATGCCATGTGTTTACACTCTGCACATGAAACTGATGATAAAAAGCAGGTTGTTTTACATACTTCACATAATCTTTCATCATCTCCAAGTAACTCAAAAGCTGTCCTGCGTACATTTTTAAGACCGTTTCTTGCAATCAGAGCCCTTAGCCTTCCTTCTTCTTCTGTTGCATGTAGTAGTTCTTTTTGAGTTTCTAATGCTGTTTCTAAGTCTAATCTGTCGCCTTCTAAAGCCATTTTACATATTAATTCATCATGAGAAAATACACAAAAACGTTTTAAATTTTTATAATGCATAATGCAATCATGACCAATTTTAAGCCAGTCAGGGGGAGCAAAATTAACAGCTTCAGCAAAATTATATCCCTGATTAAAACCAGCATGATAGGCCCTGGGGAAGGTAACTACAAACTCACCAGCATTCTGATCTGTTCTGTATATTGGTACTCCAGCTGCCATAAGTATATTAGGATTCATTATTGTAACTAGTTGATGCAAAAGATCTGGTTGTGATTTAAACAGATCAGGTGCTGCAGCTTTCATGGCATTTTCTAGAAGCTCAGCTCCACTTCCTGGTACTCCATACCAAGTTTTTGCTTCACCCCAATGTAAATAATTTATTGAATAACTCCAATGATCTTCATTATGCCAACAAAATGCTGAGAAACACATCCCTACATACATCCATGGTACTGTCATACCGGATATATCTGCATTTATAAACTTTAGTACAGAACCATCAAGCACAGGCAAGTTATTTAAATTCCAGCCAGAATCAACATATTCCTGATCACCAGGATATAAGTTTAGTGAAGATTTTGTTGGAAACCCCGACCCATGGTCCATTGAATGCAAGTCTGCACCATATTCTACTGTTACATCTTCCTCCACAGAGGATATTATCCTCCAAAATTCCTTTTCTGCCACATTTGTTGGCACTAGATGGCCGGACATACCAAAGTAATCAGATTTGAATTTATCTGCCATTTCACCAAATTGCTGTAAAGTATACTCTCTTTCAGCTTGTGCAAAGCCAAATGCTTCAGCTGGTTTATGAACTTCCTCAGCTATGCAACAAGGGCAACGCCAATCGCCATCAGGTACAACATTTAATGGAGGTTTAAGACAAAATGTATGATAAGTATCTGAACACCCATTACATATTAATAATAAATCATCTCTGTGATCTTTTTGGCAAATAGCACAAATATAAACAGCTAAAGGATCCAAGTCATATCTGGGTCTTTTTCTACATTTGGTTATATCAAATTCCTCATCATTAAGACCAGGCATTTTGGGTCCAGGTCCATAGCAAGCAAGCCTTCGTAACTCTCTATTACGTTTCATCTCCTCAAAATCAGTTTTAGCTTTTATATAATCAGTGTCTGGTTTAATGTCAGAGCCTGTTTTAGCTTTCTTAATATTTAAATGGGGTTTCTCATGTTTAAGTTCCTCATGTTTTATTTTAGTTATAGACTCTATACATATTTCTTTAAATACTTGCTTTCCATTTTCATCTTCTTTATTATTCTCATTTTTGATTTCTGTTTTTTTAACTGTTTTTAAAATGTCTGCTTTACTTTTTTCAAATATTTCATATGGAAGAAGTATTTTTTCATAATTACTACGCAAAAAATTCATGGTAATTGCGCTTTGGCTGTAACCCATAGTATTTGCGATCTTACGCCATTTTTTAGGAGTATTACAATTTTCAAATCCACCTTCTTCATCTACCCAAAATTTTAAGCAGTACAAGTCTAAAGTTTTATTTTCAATCATAGGTATTTTTAATGGTGATCCTTGTAAATCCCAAAATTTTAATATTTTCTCGAGAAATAAAAGTTTTAGACGAGTAATGGCTTCCAACTCATTTACTTTTTGTATCCGTGGGACGAATTTTAATTTATCAACATCTAAAGAAAAAGGCGGCTGCCAGCGAGCAGGAGGCTTTATTTTACAAATCCCCGTTTTTTCCGCAACCGGACGTATTTTAGCGATGTATCCTAAAGGATCCGTAAATTCTTCAAGCGTAGGCTCAAATACGGGTGCCTCGGGTGGTGGAGTGAAAGTAAATTCGGCACTCTTCTGCATTGCACTTTTTTGGATAATTTTGCTATCCATTTTTCCAAGCACTACATTAATAACAACAACGGAAGAAAATCGCTTGAATTTTTTATACCACAATTTAGAAATCACTAATGCCTACGTGACCTCTCGCCATGTGTAAATGGCTCCTAATATTGTAAAGATCGGAGAACTATGCAGTGGATTGGCGACTTTACATTTAATAGTTGAATGAAATATACCATTTCGGCACTCATTTTAATTCTTCATTTTAATTGTTCAAAGATAACGACGTGTGATTTTAGAATATAAAAATAAAGGAAACAGTCACAAAGACGTGCTTAAAATTTGATCATAACAACAAAATGTACACTAAACAGGGCGAATGCAACTGATCACTGATAGCGATAGCGACAGTCGTCGGTCGCACGCACCACAACAGAACATTTATTTTACATCACAAATCAGTCTTTACTCTTTACTTTTAGCCATCACGCTCGCACACATGGATTTCGTCATTTGCATTTTGCTACCATTTTGATATACGGAATACGGATACGCAGTCGTCAAACGATGTGATTGGTCATTTTCCATTTCACTAAAATTATGTCTCTTTATTATGTTGGTAGTACTAATCAATTAAACTTATATAATATACAACATCAAAACTGAAAATATGAATAAGATGTAAAAACGTTATTTAAAATAATAATTCATGTTTGTTTTTTTGTTATTATAGTATATTATTTTAAAATGTAGTAATATTATACAATCAATACTTTCACTCGTGCAGTAGGAACCTAAATGAATAAAAAATAGTCACTTTTGTTGAAACTCTTCTTTCACAATACGTTCTCACATTTAGTACGTAATAATAAAATAATCAATGAAAAGATTCAGACTTATATTCAATATAGATATATTTCCAATATTATTATCTCGCGAAAATCATACAAACTTTTTCAAATGGCTAGGTATCTAACAAATAAAACAAGTTTAATATGAATTGAACATTTTATTATAAATGTCCTTTTATGTTTAATAATATATATGGGGTTACTTAATCCTATTTTAAAATAGAGCAAGATTGGTGTTAAAAATAATCATCGGAATCAGTTAAATGCTAATCGGGTTAGCAAACCCTGAATTTTGCTCTACTACAAAATAAATTTATTTTATAAACATGTACGTAACATAATATAATAAACAGCACTTTTGATTAAATATAGCCAATCTAAAATCTTGTTGTGCTTACTCTTAGTTACTTTAATTGTTTTATATTAGTATTATCAATATTTTATAATCCTATATGCACCCTAGGTATTTCGTAATTCACGTGAATATAATTGTCAATTGAACAATGAAATCATAAATATGTATTAATTAAATTTATTTCATTAAATACATTTTTGCATGTTGCAATAAAAAATGTAGGTTGCTATGAAAATATAGTTCCAGTGTATTCTTTTTTATGATTAGTAAAAGTGGTTTCTCTACATCTTGACCTCGATCAATTTTCTTCGTGTAATTTCGTATATGTACGCACGTAAGAAGTTATACTTCTTTGGCTTATCAGAATAAAAATAGCTAAAGATTTCATCCCATAGGCCATAATTGTCACAACTCTCTGTTTGTAAAAGGAATGCATATTGCAGCTAACTTCATCATGTCACTTTTTGGCTGTCAGTGTGCGCGCGCATAGTAAAAATGTTACTCTCATTTTTTCCAAACGTGTCAAAAGAAGGATAACTTCAAAAAAGAATAAAATTTTGTCTGAGGAAGATTTCTCGAAAGGAGTGCGCCACACGCATTGCATATTTACATTCAGTCTGAGGTTAAAGATCATATTCCTTGTATGATATAGGCATCAGATAGGAAAGAAGTTTTTCGAAATTTATCCCCTAAGTGGGGAAAATAGGGGATTAAAGATTGTATGAAACTCTGTGATTCCTAATGTGAAATACACAAAAAGTGGTATTTAGCTTTATGATAAAAAATAAAAATTATATTTGTTTTTTTTTTCGAAATTCATCCCTTAAAAGTGTAAAAGGCGGTAATAAAATGTATAGGAGCAAAGAATTATTTATGATCAGAATCTTGAAACTTGGTATTAATGTTCTTCAATACAATTAAATAAATATGTGTTTTAGCATTTTTCGAAATTCATCCTTTATGGAGGTGAAATAGCGGATGAAAGCTTAGAGTATACATATGCTATATAGCGCGCGTATCGCTCATTGTCATAGAGTATATTGCTACATATATAACTCATTGTCTAATAAGCGAAACGTAAGCAGGTGTTCTATACACACCTATTGATACATACTTGTAGATGAAGCGGTTGAATAGTGATGCGCCTAGTAAAACTTTTAGAATTTAATTAAAAAAGAAGTAGGTATATTAACATAAACTATTTAACATAACCATTTATTCACGCACATATATACTTTATAATCTAAAATTACTGTGCTTCAAATTAATATCTTTCATTTGTAAATCTATGTAGTAATAGTGTTGCTTAATATTTTGTTTTTTTTTTTTTTAAATAATAGTAAACTAAATTAAAATTATATATTATTCTCTTTAACTTTTCGCATTGATGCAAGATGACTAATTAATAAAGTTTTCTAAAAAAATTGTAATAATTATAATAATAACATCTAAAATGATATTCCATGCAATTATTATAAAACTTATTAAAATTATAAAAATGTTTAAAATTAAAATTAAGTAATATTGTAAGATACTTTGGTGCCATTAAAATTTAAAGGTTTTATTTTTGACAAATACAAAGAATCTTAATTTATAATACTATGGTTATACAAAATATTCGAGTAGTACAACGTGGTACAACACTAGCTCTTAATGACGGAAAGTAGGAAGCGGGGGGCACGGGAACACGTGTTGTGTTGACCCACCCGCGCGCCTCCCGTAACACCCGCTCACGCCTGTGTAATTTTGTTAAAATCTGTGTTTTCTGATTAAAATATTGTGTACTGATGAAAAGAAATATTTTAGTTCTTTTAGTTTGCTTCCGTGAATCGTTTTTACAGCTTGGAACTGCACTATTCACCATGATTATATAAATCTAAATAAATACGGACCAGAGAAACAATCTGCACGCATGTTTTTTCGTGACTAATAGCGTCGTCCTTGATATCTCGAGACTGTTCATACCCGTGCTTACAGTTCATACTTGCTTACGCGCGCTCTATAGTTTATGTATACTCTAAGGATGAAAGTTTGTATGAAACTAATTAAAATCGAGTATAGAATAGTCGGTATTATGTAATAGGGAATATACGTGTGATTTAATATGTAAAGGAGTAAAAAAAATAAAAAAAAAACATCTGTAGACGATTTAAGAGTTTTAAATTTAAAATCACTTTCCTTATAATTATGTCCACATAGCCTTAAATATGAAGATTATGATTTCATTTCAATTTTGGTTGTTTTATTGCTTTTATAGCCCACCATTTCTTCAGTTTTTTGTCTTTTTAACCGGCTTCCAAAAAAACGAGGAGGTTCTCAATTCGTCGGAATCTTTTTTTTATGTATGTTCACCGATTACTCAAAGACGCCTGAACCGATTTGGAAAATTTTTGTTTTGTTTGAAAGGGTATACTTCCCAGGTGGTCCCATATAAATTTTATTGAAATCGGTCGAGCGGTTTCTTCCTACAAATTACCTGCTTATTACGTCTACACTAAAAATATAAAAATAAAAACTTAAAAAAAATAAAAAAAACCGACTTTCAGGCACTAAAATGTAAAAAATAACTAAACGGGGGTTTTCATTTAGAATAGATACCTAATCAGATATTTTCGAAGTCGGTGCCAGCGGAAAATATTTTAAGATATGAATATCTAATAGGTATATATGTATTTTACGTATCAAAATGTATTAGATTTCCTATGCGTCGGCTGGCACCGAATGAAAATATTTCTATCCACTGTAAAGCTTTACAATGTATTGAGGATGAGCCGGTGAGGTCTGAAGACAATGGTTGACGTGACATCTGGCGGGATAAAATGTCAAAATTCTTTCCCCTTGCTCCACTAGATAATAATTTGTATTTGTCATCCATGATAATAATAACTTACATTAGAGGTACTTTAAAATTATATATCTTCTTCTAATTCTCCCTGCCCATTTCCCAATCACTTGGGGGCGGCGCAGTACATTTTCTGTACTGCTGATAGGATTTGGCAAAAGTTTTACGACCGGCCGCCTGCCTGACGTTAACCCTTCTTGGGCATGCTATTGTCTCTCTTTGTCTGGATTCACGGAAGTCTTATAGTGCACTTTCGACTTCTTTTGTCTTTTAAAACATTTTTTTATACTATTACTTAAATTTTTAATGTTATTTTCAATTATGTTTTAAAATAAATTTAGATTGCATTTATATATATATATATATATATATATATATATATATATATATATATATATATATTTATATAATCTGTGACGTGCAATCTGTCAATTCTCAAACTCAATTCCCAAATCGAAATATCATAAATATATCATCTGTAATTTCTGTACCACACATTTAATGATTAGTGTATCAAAAATAAAATGAGAATCTAAGTAATTTATTTTAAGATCATAGTTCAAAATGAATAAATTTCGAAGTTTCTGTCGTGTAAGTGCACAGTATCAACAAATACGGCTGGGTCATAAAATGAGAGGAAAGCCTCCTATATACTGTAGAACTATAAAAGAAAGGTTAGACGAATTGAACTATAAAGATGAACTCTATACAACGAGGATTGACATAGGATTTCCACAAGAAAAGTAAGTTTTTCACATTAGTAACATAGTAAACTAAGTCAAGCTTTAACTATACCAATATTAATACTTTATTATGTATAGGTGGTATTTGTTTGTTGAAAGTTTATAAATTCATGCAGACAATATTTTATGAAAAAAAATATTTATGAAGTATTATCTGCATCTTACTTATCAATAATGTAGCTTTCGATCAGTGAAAGCAGCTTTTTCCAAATAAACAAAGGTCAAGTAATACTCATATATATGGAGGGGGTAGTTTGTTAATCATGGTCTTGATATGTGTTTTATTATCATTGGTATGTGCTTAATGTTATCATTTGTTAAATATTTTTTGTTTTAGGAAAACATCAACTGCTTCACGTGGGGAAAGGATGGAAGATTTAAAGAAAGTAAAAAATGATAAAAGTATGGAACAGTTGGCTCGTAAAGGTCTGTTGGAAATTGATTTGGAACAATCGAGGAAAGACTGGCTTGAAACACTAGGGCCATTGCATAAAAAACAGATAGCTGATCATTATGGAATATTTGAACATCTTTATGCAGAAGGTTTTTTTATACCTCACTTGAATCTGGACATTTTCTATGATCTAAAGGATGGCAATTGCTTACCTGTTTATTATGGGAATGTAATTAAACCCAAAGAAGCTTTGGAGAGTCCTATTGTAAGTTATATGTCTGATAGAAACTCCTTATGGACATTAGCTATGACTAATTTGGATGGTCATTTAACTGATAATGATCAGGAATATGTACACTGGTTTATTGCCAATATTCCAGGCAATTCTATAGAAAAAGGAGATGTCTTAGCAGAGTATTTAAGGCCATTCCCATTGAAAGGTACAGGTTACCACCGATATGCTTTTGTTCTTTATAAACAAGATGGACAGATTTCATATGATTTACCTAGAGGTTAGTGTTATATTTTTTATTTTCTGAAAACTAAAATTAAAATTTTGAAATTTATAATAAAAATATTTTTTTATTATTATTAAGATGATGTTAAGATAATTTATTGGAAGAAACATTATATATAATAGCCTGTAAAAACGATTAGTGTTAATAAGTTGATTTACAATTTGTTCCAGTCACAGCATCATCACCCTTAGAGGATAGAACTTTTAATACTCGAGAATGGTATAAAAAGTATCAAGATAACATCACTCCCATTGGACTTGCGTTTTACCAGAGTGACTGGGATTTGTCTGTTACAGATTTCTTTCATTCTACATTAAATCAAAAAGAGCCAAGTAAATATTTTATATTTTTAAATATTGTTATTTAATAGTTAAAATATTTGTTTAAAAAAAAAAGATATGATTATGTATAATATGGATTATGGATTTACTTATAATGTAAAATTACAATGTTTGCATTCCTACTTTAAAAAACCAGTCAAGTGCAAGGCTGACTCTTACACAAAGGTTACCTCTTCTTCTTCTTGCATGGCTTTTTCTGTACTTAAGCAGCATTGCCCGTTGTATGTGAGCTTGTGCTACTTCATGTGTTATTCTTTCCAACCCAGAGCATTTCAGTGGTCTAGCAGGTTGCAGGTATCCTGGAAGATTTCGGGGGGCGATCTTTTGGGGCCCAATTTTTCTTTGTGTAAGTGTTTCACTGCATTCTAGCAAAATGTGAGCTGGTGTTTCATCGTCTTGGAGACATGCTCTGCACAAGACGCTGTCCGTGTGACCTATATCGAAAAGATTTTGTTGAGATGGCAGTGTCCTGTTATAAGTTCCTCCACGGTTTTTAATTTAGGTCTATCTAGGCGTGGTAGTTGTTAGGTATTTGTTAGATTTGGGGAAGGTTTCTAATGATTGATGGCAGTCTGTATTTGCCTTCCGTATTAAGTCAACTGTTTTGTTGTGTGGTCATGTAACCATGATTAATATTCACAGTAGGGGATTGGGGTTAGAGGTGTAAACCCTTGTACTTTTAGTCTTGAGGCCTGTTTGGCTAAGTTGTTGGCAGAAGAATTGCCTTTGTTTTTACTGTGACCTTTTACCCAAGAGAGGCTACCATACCATCTCACAAGATATATAACACCCCAAGTGTTTTTTTAATATGCATGGTGGCCATTTTAAAATTTGTCATCTTGGTTTTTAGTATTTGTTGTTGTAACGGCTATAGAAATACACTCATTGTGAAAATGTCAACTTTACCTATTACGGTTTATGAGATACAGCCCGCTGACAGACAGAAGGGCGGACAGCAGGGGATTAATAATAGCGTCCATTGGCACCCTTTGGGTACGAAACTCTAAACGCGACTTTTAAAAAAAAAATATCTTTATCTGTGTGTTATTAACTTGTTTACAGAAACATCAAATGTACTTTTTTTTTCAGTTTATGAATATGATTTCCCCGAGCCATATATCAGACCTCAAGAATGGTTTCCACGTAGAAAACCATTTAATCTATACATGGATAAATATAGAGACCCAAAACAAATTAACAAGGAATTTTTAATACGAAAATTTAAATCTGAAGATCCATTTAAGACTCCACCTCCACCTTTGAAGTTCCCGAATGCCCAACCGTTACCAAGGGAAATGCCATCATGGTTGAAATTAGAAGAAAGAAAGATAAGGCTTCGTTGGGGAAGAGTAAATGATGTTTAGAATATAAAATATCTTAGAAAATTAATAAAATATTTATATATTGTAAATGTAGTTTTCCTCTACTTTGTTTTTGCATTTCAATATATTATATTTGTAGAAAGAAGATTACAAAATCAGTATTAGCTATTAAGTATATCCTATAGAATATTATAAAATAAGAATATGGTAAAACATCTTAACAAAATTATAGAACGATACAATGGAAGGATTTTAAATAAAAATCGCGTAAATCTAAGAAAGTATTACAATGGAAAGAATTACATGGATGATTTTTATAAAGTATGATTGCCTCAACCTCGCTTCGCTCGGGTTCATCTATAGTTACGTTTTAACAGTTAGTATGGATAATGGAATAGATATATTATTTTTTTCCAACTTCAACTCGCATTGTTGTAGATGATGGGTCCGCCACTAACGTCATCTATTAATAATAGTCGTCTATTAGTAATCTGAAGTAGTGATTTCCATACAAAATAAAGTTCTGAACTTTTCGATTGTCCTTCCTGCAGGTCTTATGGGTTTTCCCAATTTTTTTTATACTTAAACCACCCCTGACACACCCCAACAAAACAAAAAAGAATTATTCAAATCGGTTAAGCCGTTTTTGAGTTTTAGCGAGACTAACGAAGAGCAATTGATTTTGATGTATATAGATGTATTTATGTCATTTTAATACTTTAGCCTATCATTACCATTAAAATTTACTAGACACACTAGGATTATTATTAATAGACACTATACAATGAGGGGGAACAAACTTACTGTCGCATTTATTACAATACTAGCATTGCCCGCGGCTCCGCCGCGTTCAGATGACCAATAATCAAATTGTTAGGTTTTACCATGAACGAAGTGGTTAATTCGTTCATGGGTTTTCCATATAAGTAATCTTACATTGCAATTTTTGTATTTTTTCTCAGAAATCAGATATTTTCCCGCGGTAAAAAGTATCCTATATATTGACCCGGATAAACAGCTATCACCATACCAAATTTCATCAAAATCCTCCAGTGGTTTTTCTGTGATGCGGTAACAGACAGACAGACACAAAAATTCTGTAAACTATAAATTCGGCCTTTGTATCGATGTTTATTTCAATAAGATTTTCCAAAAAATATTTAATGTACAGATTCGGCTTAGTTACAATTTTGTTGTGTATAGATTAAAATAAAAAAATGTATACAAAGGATACTTAAAAAAACGACATTTTTTTATTTAATTCTGTTGTAGTCAATTTAACATTTATTTTTTGTCTTTTTAAAATAACTACTGCAATACATTATTGTTGTACTAACATCACTGGAAATATAATTGTATGGTTGGTAAAATTCATTATTAAGGTGAATAAGAAATAAAAAAGTGATAATATTATACGTATTTATTTACCAGCAAATTAAAAGTATAAATTAGCTGACAAATTCATGTATATAAATGCCAAATTAATAAAGAAAACTTTAAAAATAATCCCCAACCTCCTTGAAACCTGTTCTACTTTAAATACACAATACTTTATTTGCACCATATTGTATGAACTTCTATATATTATGTATAATATTATCATGTAAAATATATATTTCAATATATTTAAGCAACAATATCTCACATAGAAGAATAATGGACAGAACAACATATACTACTCTTTAGATAGTTAAATTACAAGGTGACTAATAGTTTTTAAATCATTATTGCAAATTTGCAGATCTAGATTACATTTATTTAAGAATGCATCGTTGGGATAGAGAAGGTCAGTTCAAAATTGGTGGAATGATAAGCTTTAAAAATCAAACATTACGTTTGTTATATTCTTTTCTACCAATTTAGAATATCCTCCTCTGTACATTAGAAATCTTAATAATATGAATATCATATTTAACACACATGGTGTTAAATTTAATGAAAATATTTAAAATGGGCGTTGACGTTTTAGTCCAAACCAACGTCGTCATCCGAATTCTTGGCTCCAGCACCAGGTTGGGAGGCATTTCCAAAACCTGTAGTCATTAATTAAATATAAATTAAAAATAATATTATATTATACACTTTAATAGGTTGCCAGAACAAAAGTAACCCTATAATTTGTTCTGTATTGGATCAAAATGTTTATCTACGAGTTTTCAAGTTAATACTCACATAGACAAACTATAGAGAAAGACTAGCATTGCCCGCGGCTCTGCCCGCGTTCAGATGATCAAAAACCAAATTCTTAGGTTGAACATATTAGTATACTCTTACATTACAGTTTTTATATATTTTCTCAGAAATGACACATGTTCCCGCAGTAAAAAGTATCCTATATGTTGACCCGGATAACCAGCTATCACCATACCAAATTTCATCAAAATCCCTCCAGTGGTTTTTCTGTGATGCGGTAACAGACACGGACAAAAATTCTAAAAGGTATAGATTCGGCCTCTGTATCTATTATAATGTTTATTTCAATAAGATTTTCCAAAAAATATTTTATGTACAGATTCGGGTTAGTTACAATTTTATTATATGTATAGATAACGATGCAATGGAGGGATCTACTATTATAAAAAATATGTAAAGATTGCAGTGACAATCAGCGCTGGGTTTACACTAGGAGCAGTTGGAGCTAGTGCCCAGGGCGACAAATTTTTAGTAGCGGCAAAATTCGGAGAGGGGGAAAAAAATTCTTTGCGTTTGCGAAAATGCTTTTTATATTTTCCAAAAAATATATATGTAATTAAAAAAAAATTGTTCATTTTCCGAAAAATCGAAATCATTTAAAATTATTTTTTTGCATTATTCAAAAAAATAATTAAAATTAAAAAACTTTATCGAAACTTTAGCGATTTTATGCAAAATTTCCATAATAGGGCGGCATTTTTTACTATTGCCTAGGGCCGGCACTAAGGTTGAATCCGGCACTGGTGACAATTACTGATATTATTTACATAATATCAGTAATACAGAAGTGTAGCCCAAGATTATGTATTATATATTTCGCAGCCAACTAGCTTAATTAGCCGTTCAATTGACAGCCTAGTCTCTTAACTAAACGGCACCGTTCAACTAGCTGGCAGATGCTTAGGCCGTTCATAGAATAGGGTAACCGCATTACGAAAATATAAAAAATATTTAAATTTCGAGATTTCTTTTTAATTTTTATTTATGTAAAGTAATTAAATGAACAGTTTATCGCACGCCTTACTTAGAAAAAGGTTAGGTTTGATTAGAACTGTGACAACAACAACTAGAACTTTTAGAAAAAAATGCTTTAGAAGTATTGATCAAAAAAGTACTAGATGCACAATCAGCGAAAAAAAATTCCTCACTGAATGAGCGTTCATTTGAACATTTGAGCGCGGTTTTAATTTAGTAGTAGCATTAGAAGTTAGAACGCTCCGACGGTAAACATGACTCGGTGCTTGTTTAAGAATTGCAAAAATCACACATCTAGGGCGCTAAAAAAATATTGTATTTTGTCAAGAAATCGCCATAAAAACAGTTTTTAAGTGTTATTTGAATTAAGTCGTAATGAATACTCATTCCTTGTCACGGCGTGGCGCCGTGTGAGCGGCGACGAGCGGCGAGCCTCGGACCGAATTTTTTTTTGCAAAAACAACTTAAAGCATTGCGTTTAAGTTTTAATTTAGATTCTTGTATATATATTTATTTCAACTAACTTAACACAAAAATTGTTGACAGTTTTAAGAGTTCTTTTGCATGAGATTGTTTAGAAGAATCCATATATTAAATGAACAATTTATAAATGAATTTAATTTAAATGACTAGGCTAGGTAAGTAGTTAAATGTTATCGATCCAACTCAATTTCGCCTGGCTGTTCGATTGATGGCTGAATATGATATTCAGGCCACTAGTTGAAGGGCGCCGTTAAGTTAAGAGACTAAGCTGTTAATTGAACGTCTAAATAACCTAGTTGGCTAAGACATATATACCTATCTAATGATCAAATTTTCATGGCAGGCACTTTACTTTCAGTGACCTCCGTAATACATAATATGTATTTATATTTACCTGCAAATCCACCAGTAGAAATTCCAAATTTCTTGTTAAATAATTCCAGCGCAGCAGCTATTTTTGGATTATTCTGGTACTTGATAAAATTGGCCGGATTTGAAGACACGTCGTAAAAGGCATTAGATATTTCCGGATCCTGCGAAAATTTTATTTTCAGACCACACATTTTGGATACATATTTTTTTTATAGATTATAAAGTTTACTAGAAAAGTCATTGCTACGACATATGGTTCACCCGACTGCCTATTTTAATTTAACATTTGGATCAAGCTGCAAGATTGCTACGTTCATAGCGTATTTAATCAAAATCATTTTTTTATATACATATAATAATAAAAAGGACAATATGTTTTTACCGAGGTGCCCATTAAAATGTGCCCGCTAGTATGTTTAATTAAATAAATAATAATTGACTTTTTAGAACAAACACTTCACAGAAATATACGTAGAGATCTTGCAAAGTGATAGCTGCCGTTGCGCACTTCACCAGCAGAGATAGATTAAAGTGAAAGAGAGTTAGCGCGATAGTTAAGCGTTTGTTGCCATGGTAACTGTTGTTATTGTCTGACAAATGATATATAATACTATGTTCTTTGCTTCTTTTCATTCCTTTGCGGCCACTTTTGCATAGTATCTTATAATTACCGTGTATAACTTCATATGCATTTAGTAAATGCTGTTATTTTGACATTACAAACAGACACTTCAATTTTATTTATATGTAGATGTATAGATTATTAAATCATAGTTACTTTGAAAGCAGCTAAAATTTCTGGATCAGACAGTAGTTTCATGAAGTCTTGCGAGTTGAATGCTCCCATACCGGGGAAACCCCCAGGCATTCCTCCAGGCATTCCTCCGGATGAGAAGTCTGGCATAGGTCCTTGTTCCTTGGCCGCTTTTGCATGCGCCTCTTGCGCTTTACGCGCTCGACGGATTTTCTCGCGATGCTAGAAATATGTATAGATAATAAACATATTGGATATATTAAGTACAGAATGTTTGTATTTACAGAGTAAATAAGTATTGAATATAAGATTAATTTAAAAAAATATATAAGAATCATTTTCAGAGACCTACTGACGTGCCTGATAATGTCATCTACATATGAAAGTTGGTAAGACTTTCATACAAGGGGACAAATTCATAGAGGTAATTTATTAACAATAAAGGAAATACATACATTGAAATTGCAAATACACTTTTTTTTATATATGTATACAAAACAATTGTACACTTAATTATTTCTGTATACAGATATATAAAGTATTTTTTTTATACGTACATCTTTTTCTTCTTTCTTACGTTGTGCAATGAGTCTGTGCTGACGAAGTTTCTCAGCGTTCGGCTTCACTTCACTCAGCCATTCGTTTGCTTGGTCATCGTAGTCAATCTTAAGAGATTCACAGAGATCGTGAGATGCATCTTCAAACTTGCCCAAAAGTCTAAATTAATAAAACAAAGTGTGCAAAAGAAACTGTAATACAAATATAAGAATGTAAATAAAAGCCTTAGAGACTTATAAATGGGAAGACAATTTAAACTCGCATGCATAATATATAGGAATTAATTGGTAAGAACTGAACCATATTGCATAATTTTGGTGTGCTTTTGGAAAAAATATACACTTCTTCATTGGTTCATATCCAAAAGCCTTCGGTATGGAAATACTAGGAACAAAAATAATATATTGCATGTAACTTTTACAATAGAATACATATTATGTATTAGTCACTGTTTACTTTTATGTAATAAACTAGCGGCTCACCCTCACTTTATTCGGGTTTGCCTCTAGAAAAACAAATCTATCTTTCGGGAACCGTATATTTTTCCAGGATAAAAAGTAGCCTATGTGTTATTCCAGACTATAATCTATCTCTGTGCCTAATTTCATCAGATCCGTTCAGCCGTTCTGGAGAGAAAGAGTAAGAAACATAACTAAGAGAAAGAGTAAGAAACATACTCACAAAGTATCACATTTATAATATGAATACTTACTTCTACACAATTTCAGAAACAACCATGATCCAATATTTCTCATAGAAGCTTAAATGAAGTGTCCAAAAAATTACTTTTTCAAAACTTAAAATCAAATTCATGAAAACATGTTTTTTGCAAATCATGTATCATCAACCAAATATGGTATGATGATAACTAGTTATCTGGGTCAACATATAGTATACTTTTTACTGCAGGAAAAATATCTCATTTCTGAACTACAACATAACATCTATATAAATAAAAATGAATGTTGGTAAGCGCATAACTCAAGAATGGCTGGACCAATTCGGCATAATTTATAAAATAAATAAATACATAAAATTTTCCTTATTCTTTAAAGAAAGTAAACAATTTGCATGATAAAATCGAGAATAGTAGCATAAACAGCAAATCATATAATATTTTTGACTTTGATATTTATTGTGATGGACTCCATCCAAGAGAAAAACAAAAACTTATCAGTATATAAATTATAATCTTAAACACAAATGGTTTCTTATGGAAATTTATATTAAAGACATTTGAATTTTACTAATTTGAATAGATACACCAACAGTATACACATTACACTATACATATGCAATATATACATAAATACTATATTACAAATTATCAGTCTTCACATGAACAGTCACTGGTACAGTGTACACTTATTACAGGTGTTCACGACATTGTCAGAATGAAAACTGGTACCATAATCTATATTTACAATACTTATAGAAAGTATTTTAAATATATGTATAATTAGAAATACCCAAGGGTTCGCTAGTATTCAAACTTCCGATCGCTACCACACTTCACAGGATTACCCGCCGGGCTAATCTGAAGATTGTCTGAAAATTACCAGTGGTAGGACTTTGTCAAGCCTGAAGAGTCCGATTGGATGGGTACCACCCCCTTATCTATTTCTACTGCTAAGCAACAATGATTACATTGTTGTTTCCAGTTTGAAAGATAAGATAGCCAGTGCAACTACAGGCAAGAGGCATATCATCTTAGTCCTCACAGTGACAACGCACCTGCGGTTCTGCATTTTTGTAACATAAAACCTAAGTACATGAACCGTAGGTGTTATGAGCGACAGATACTACTTTCCATCTGGTGGTCCGTCTGCTTGTTTGTCACTGAACCCCATAAAAAAAATCGTCAAAATCGCCCCAGCCGTTTTGAAGTTGATTGGGAACATACATACACCAATCGATTTTTACACAATATATAGAAGGATAATAAATTAAACATACCTAAAAGCGCGTCCTCTGAATTTGTATGCGGCTGCACTGTCACAATTTAGTTCCAAGGCACGAGTGCAATCTTTAATACAAGCATGAAGTTTATTTTGTTTTAGGAACACCTGAAAAGACAATTTTAGTTATATATAACCTTATTTCTAAAACAAACTAACAGTTTTAATCTACTTCTTATTTGAAACTTTTTGAAATATCTATGAGAATATATAGAAAGAAATATTTTTTATTGGAAACTATTGAAATAACATTTTAGTTTATGACCACATACAAATTGTAATAAACATACAAAATATTTTTTCCATTTAAGAAACTCAAGATACAAGTGTATATAATCAATTTGTATTAAAATTTGGCAGTTCCTTAATATTTATTACTACTAATACAGTCATTAAAAGTCAATTATCAGTTACCTGTCCTCTTTTAGCAAAAAGTAAAGCACTTTGTGGGTTCAGTTTTATAGCCTCTGTGTACAATGCAATGGCTTCATCAAATTTTTGCTCAGAAAAGGCTCTCATAGCTTCTGATCTTTTCTCATCAGATTCGTCACGATCTTCATCTGACACTTCCTTAGATTCATCACCCATATCTTGATTAGCATCAGAGGTGTCAGATATGACTCCTGAGTACAACAAAGGTTATGTCAAGTAAAAATTTATCAATATACTATTTAATTAGTACCTTTTCAGAAAATACATTTGAAAGTGTTGTCAGTCCACCTAGAAATCGTTTTTTATTCTAGGAAGAACTAGTGAGAATTATTGCTTTATATGTAATTTTATGGTTCTAATGATAATCATAATTTTATTCTGGCTGTTGGGCACAGGCCTTAATCACATTCAAGATTGTAAAGGGAATCAGGCCTTACTCCAAAACAAATGCCTAGTGAGGGTTGGCAGGCAGAATTCACAGGTGTCCTCATTCACCATAATACAATTAATTGGTAATAATGTTGTAAATGATTTGTACATGTAATTATTAAAATTGGACCTAAACTCACATCACATGGTCTTCAAAGTGAGTACATTACCACTGTGTTAGCACTGACTTATAAAATAAATCACATAGACATAAGCTATTAATTACATAAACATAAGCTAGTTACTCTATAACATTTTCTTTTATTTAAATAACAAGAAGTTATAAATTACTGAATAATACTGGCTATAAGTAAAATTTACTAATGAGTTATTAATATTATTATCATATTTATAGGAGGGAAATATAAACATTGTAATCACAATTATAATACAGATAATATGTAGTTCATGTTCTTATTTTCTGATAAAATAGAAACATTTATACAACCATATCTCTCAACTCTTTTTTAATAAATAGTATTTATAAATATTTATTAAAAAGTATGATTTTATTGTGCAATGACCCTTAACACATAAATGTAATAATCATTAAGGTAAGTTTATACTTTTATGTTAAGATTGAGATAAAGTTACCTTCCATATCAAGCTCTACATCTGATTCAGGTTCTGTATCTTCTTCAGAAGACGCTGCTGCAGTAGTTCCTGCAGTAGCATTAGCAGAGTTGCTGAAATTTTTTTAATGTTATAAATATTGATTTTAATGTTATATTAAGCACAGTCGTTTTTGTAAAAGTGTAGTATGTACATACCTGTCACCTGAGGCAGAGAAAGTTTTATGTTCAAAAGTGGCCGAAGGAATCATTACACCAAGTGATGTTAAATAATCTTTGAAGAAAGATAACTTTGGGTGTTGAAGAATTTGAGGTTTCGTTCTGCATAATTCTACGAAGGCTTTGAGTTGTAGTAATTGTTCATCATTAAATGGGCAACTCATCATGGAAATACTGTTGTGCTGCCGGTAAATACACGCTTTAAATGAAAATTGAATTCCAATTAATGTTTACAAAAGTGATAAGTACAAAATTATTATGAATAGGATTATAATTTAGTAATAATAAATCATAAGCACTTACCTACTTATTCTAGAAACTCAAATCAACAGTCGAAGAATATTCTTGAAATATGCGCCGCGGTACTACAGTCAAACATATCTGTTTGTCATAAACGTGACATTCATGATTCAATATTAGTGTTGCATTTATTTAAATTAACTTTTTTGATTTGTCTATTCTTTCGATTATATACTAAATTCATTACAAATTAAAGACCTAATGAAATACAAAATAATCATATTATATAAGATCTTAATTAATTTGATGAGAAAAATGAATTAAATGTGAGGAGGGGGCTTTTTCAGAAAGAGAAGAGGATCTCTAGTAGAGTAGAACAATAGACTTAGTCACTTAAGTCTTAGTGTCACTATTCTAAATAGGTAAATGCACAGATCGCTAATATATAAAATTCTCGTGTCACAGTGTTGTAACAAAACTCCTCTGAAACGGCTTGACCGATTCTTATAAAATTTTGTGTGAATTAAGTAGGTCTGAGAAAAGGACCGTAAACTATTTTTCATACTTCTAAGTAATAAGGATGGTCCACCCCAAAAAAATATTTTTATTTTTTGGACAACTTTTTTATTTTAATTTTTTATGATTCGGCATTAAAAATACATACAAACCTCTGTAATACTATAATATTAGTAACTAGTATTTTTTTTGTGTTTTCATCTTCAATCAGTCCTTGGACTATAAGCGGATAGGTGGTGCGATAACTGGCGGGATGTGTGAACCCTCAATTGAGGACATTTCTCGTGTTATGAGGGTGCTACACCCTCTCGTGCAGCTGTAGTACATCATGCCTTTTTAGGCACCTAAGATGTTTTTGGCTTTTAAGCTGGGTTGCCAAGTGATTGGGGTGGTAGCCAAGCCGTTGTTGGTATATTTTTCAGGCTGCTCTAATTTCTTCCTTCACTGTGGTCATTTGTAGATTGGCAATTTGGCGTGGATATCACTGTTTGTGACAAACCAAGGAACATTGGAAATGGTGCGCAAAATGATATTTTGTAATCTTTGTATCATTGCAATATTTGAGTTACTGGCGCCAGAGCTGTATCCCATACATCCTCACTGGTTTTAGGAGCATTTTGTACATTGGGAGTTTATTGTCCGTTGACAATTTGCTCTTTCGTCCTAGCAGCCAGAGCATGGTTTCATATTTTATGTTAAGCTCATTTCTTTTGGATTTAACATGATATTTCCAGGCCAGTTTTCGGTCCTAATGGAGGCCCAGATATTTAAGCCTGTCAGTGTGGAAAAGTATATTGTTCTCTCCAAGGTGTACCGGAGGGCAATCTCCTTTTTTCAGAGTGAATATTAAGTGGATTGTCTACGATGCACTTGCTTTAATTTTCCATCTATTCAACCAGTTATTTATTTCATTTAGTCCTTTTTTGTAGGGTAGAGGCTATAGGATGCAATAGCCAGATTTTTTTTGCTTACCAATTGTGCGGTATCATCAGCGAAAGTGGCTGTGGTGATTCCCGTTACTCCTGGCAGGTCTGCCGTGAAGATTGTGTTCAACAATGGATCTAAAACTGACCCCTGCCTGGGACGACTGCTTTGATGTCATGGAAATTAGAGGTTTTTCCTGATTCTTCCACTTGGAAAATACAGTCCGATAGATACGATTGCATCAGCATGTGGTAGATATGTGGTAGATATTTCTTGAACTTATAAAGAAGGCCTTCGTGCCATACTTTGTCAAATGCCTGCTGTATATCGAGAAATCCTGAAGAACAGTATTCCTTATTTTCTAGGGACTCTCTGATTGTATAGGTCACCTGATGTACTTGTTAGATTGTGGGATTGTCGAAACCCAAAATTGATGGTCAGTTAGTATTTGGTCTTCAATCAGAGTAGGCAGTATTCTTTGCAATACTATTTTCTGAAGACCTTGTATAGTATTGGTAGGAGGCTGTTCGGCCGATATGATTCAACTTCATTTGGTGGTTTACCTACCTTGTGGATCAAGTGAAGTATTGCACTCTCAAATTTCCTTTATAAAGGATAGTCAAGTAATTATTAACTCTTTTATTATTGGGTTGGACAAAAGTCAATGAGGGTTATCGTTTCTGATGGCTAAAGTTGACGTCTTATCGTCTGTTAGAGTTGAAGTCTTATCGTTGTTATTGAATTAGTATTTGCTAGTGCAGCAGGCCAATAAATTTATAATAATAATAATTGTTTGCGCGAAAGCAGATCTATTAGGATTTTTAATAATTAATCATACCCAAATAAATAAAATATTGACTTTTTCTTAACCTACTAACCTACTCTTCTTTTATAATAATAACATATTATGTATAATGAACTGTACCGTGTCTGCCATAATTAGGAATGGCACAATCATTTCAATAATGTATTACTTATAATAAAGCAGAAGGTAACTTAGCAAAACCTATACATGAAATATTTTTAAACCCAAGGAGTGCAACGTATTACGTATATATATACACAATATAGACCCCAAAACAATAGTTAATAAAAAAAATCTGTTTGTCTGTATGTCTGTTTGTGTGTGCGCGTTTCACGTAAAAAGTAATGAACCGATTTCAACGGGTGAAGTGATAACTTATTACTCGGGTTAACATTTAGGATACCTTTTACTTCAGAAAAATCTTTCTTTTCCACGTGAATACACAATAACCGGTTTTATTGAATCCTCCTTAGAAACCATTCGCTGGCTAAACCTTAAGACATACATCAAAATAACATACTAAAAATTATAGGTCTTGAACAGGTCTACGGAAAAATCTGCAATACCTCGCAATACCTATTCTTCTCTATACCTATAATAAAACTATCTATTTGACTAAGTTCAAATCGATGTGCGCGTTTCACGAAAAAAGTACTGAACCGATTTTAACTAAATTTTGTAGTGATAATTTATTCAACATTTAGGATACCCTTTTCTAAAGGCAAATTTTTCATTCCCACGGGAAAACACCAAACGATCAAAACAATGTACTACAAAATTCACCACGGGATGCACATCTCCTTCTCAATTCTTCTTTCAGCTGGTCTGACTTCCAGGTACAATACATTGCACAGGTAAGAGGCGAAAACAATAAAAGCTAGCAACCAGGTACAAAAGAGATATTATAATAAATTGTTTAACCTCAAACTGAATGTAAATAGGCCATTCGTGTGGCCATCCTTTCGTGAAATCTTTCCCATTAATGAAAATCCACAATGAAAAGCTCGCAAACAGTGCACGTTCAGTGTCATTGGACATTTCTAGAGACCTCACTCTACACTAGCGCCCTATCGCGGCGAATTCAAGCGCAGTAGCCCTCATTAAAGTTGGAGCAAAATAAAAAATAATAAGTACTTAAACTGGTTGTCAGTAAACGTTTTTAAAATTTCGTGTTTACTCATTATGTGAAACTTTTTTATTGAGCATCATGAGTGTTAAGCTCTAATAATAATCTTGCTAATGTAACGTAAAGTGATATTTATTTATCAATAGACATAGGTATTAAATTAAGCGTCTGACTTACCCTTCCGTGTGTCCTTAGGTGCTTTATAACAACAGTAGTACATATGTGTTACTTCAGATTATCTGTATAGTTGATTGTATTTAAATCCGTCCAGTCGTTTCAGCGTGAAGAACTAACAAACATATAAACAAACTTACAAACATTTCCATTTATAGTAGTCAGATGGTTTTGCGACTTCCCGCTTCCAGAATTCATCATTCACGTTAGCGAAAAGATTGGCTAAATTAAAAAAAATAGTAAACACTGTAGAGATATCCTACGTTTTCCATGGTGTTGACCTATTATTATTATCACCATAAAGGGGTTAAGAATAGAAGTATTTTATATTTGCTTTGTTCAACTGAATCAGGTCTGGAAAACAAACATTTAATAATTTTCAATCGATCAAAGACCCAGTTTGAGTTCTCTGTTCTACGTCATGAAGAGTTATTGACCATAAAATAAATCATATCATCATAACAATCATATGAGCGAAGTAGTAGGACGTAGCTACTACAGTGATACAACATTTGTCTGACAATTTATTTTTATTTAAGAAATCTATATTAAAGTATATGAAGCTGAAGTTTGTTTTTGTGTTTGATAATTGATTGGACGCATAATCTCTAGATATACCTACTGGTTCAATTTGATTTTATTTGCTTATGGCCTATTTACCTATTCAGGAAAGTTATATGCTATCAGCTATCTCACATCAGTGTACGAGAGCGGATTATTCTACAAAATTAAACGACGCGACGCGAGCAAGAGAACGATAGTCTATACATATGTATAATAAAATTGTAACTAAGCCGAATCTGTACATTAAATAATTTTTGGAAAATCAAATTGAAATAGACATTATTATCGATACAGAGTCCGAATCTATAGTTTTTAGAATTTTTCTCTGTCTGTCTGCCTGTTACCGCATCACGAGAAAACCACTGGACGAATTTTGATGAAATTTGGTATGATGATAGCTGGTTATCCAGGTCAACATATAGGATACTTTTTACCGCGGGAAAATATCTCATTTCTGAGAAAAAATACAAAAACTGCATTGTAAGAGTATACTAATATGTAAAACCTAAGAATTTGGTTTTTGGTCATCTGAACGCGGGCGGAGCCGCGGGCAATGCTAGTGATTAATAAAATTTTATGTAATTTTTTTTGTATGAAATGTATTATGGATTCTTTCATAAAGTCAGTGAAATATTTTCGTTGCCTTATATCTACAGTTTGTATGTTACGTTTACCGAGCTTCGCATTATTATTTTAATTTTAATCGCATTTCATAATAATAAAGTTCATTATGCTGTTTTTAAGGTGATGATGGTAGTGGTGAAGAATATGTTTTGTATACATAGATCAAAAGTACCTACTTTTTTTAATCGATTTTATATATATTACAAGATAAAAAACTATTATTTCTGAATTGAAAAATAAAATTAATCGCGTATTTATACGCGTCAACGAAAATTTATTGATGATTACTCAATAAGTAATTAATCTTTAGAAGTAATACTCTTAATGAATATTGTACTTTCTTGTTAGGACTAATAACGATAACAATTAAATTAAAATGCAATTAGGTATTACCACGAAACTGAGGCACATTAAGATCATATTAAAGGGGAACATTTGACGTGAACTCAGTATACCTCGGATGTCTCGTAACGTTTATCGTTTAAATGTGGTTCTTCTGATTTTAGGTACCAACCCGCAAAAATGATCACTAACTCAAGTGTTATTTTTTATTTAGTATTAGGTAAGTGTTAAGAATTATAAAACAAACCGCTAATATCACACTATAAATTAAAGATTAAAAATAATAAAAAACTTGCAGTATTTTCCAAAATCGGTCTACACTTTTCGGAACCTATTATATCAGATAAATTAAGAAAGAATGATTTATTGGATTTGGATGGTATTATAAATAATATGTTCCCGACTCTGAACCAAGGAGGTAATAACAATGTTGGAAATGGTGGTAGTGTTCCTCCCCAGGATAATGGAAGTCAGGTAACTAAAAAAAATATATTGATTAAGTAATCAATTAAATGAGTTTTTCTTTAAAAAACGGCTGTTATAAAAATCCTTAGCAGGGACTATTATTACCCAAACTGTATATTTTTTGCAATTTAATTAAAAATTAATTGAAAAAAAAACGAACCAGGTTAACAATCCTCAAGGAAGCGATTGGAATAATGAAAATGGAAAGCCGGGTATAAGTTATCCTGCGAACTCAGGGTTCTATCCAGGATCAAATTTCCAGGTAACGTGGGTCGTGGACCTATAAATAATGAATAGAATTTTTATCATGTTTTGTAACTTGTCATAATTGTTTTATTATTATAGGGGCAAAATCCTCAATACCCCGGTAACTCTAATGGAATGCAGGTATGTACTTTCTCGACTGTATATCTACATAGGTTTGTACATGTTTAATCTAAAATTATCCATGTTTAAAATAATCTAAAGGTCATTTTAAGAATATCAATTTTTTATTCTAATAAAAAACCGTTAAATTATTTTTTTCATCGTTAACCTTTGTGATTGTTATGTATTCATTCAAAAGCTAATGGATTAAGGTTTCAAAACCTATTTGAAATTTAAATAAGACATAGTATGGTACATAAAATAAGAATTGAAAGAAGAGATAGCCTGTTTTGTTTTCTTTTTAATTATCTGTATTTCAATTTAAGGTGTTCATCAAAAGTTTACTATTTATAATACATTTTCAGGTTAATAATCCTCAGTATCCTGGAAATACGATAAATAATGGCATTTACCCAGGCAATAATAGTCCACCACAGGTAGGTATAGTTTTTTTATAAGCGTTCGTTTCATTTTTATCTATAGGTACATAAATACGAGTATAATAAAACAGTAACTTAGCGGAATTTAAAAGCAATGACTATAAGGTATTGTGTACAGAATATAGGCTCTAAAACAATAGTTATTAAAATGTTTGTCTCTTTGTCCGTCTGTTTAGATGTGGGCGTTTCATGCAAAAAGTACCGATTTTAACTAAATTTTGTATAGTATATAAACTTATTCGAGTAATAAGATAATAACTTATCACTCGGATCATATAGTATATATTTTATTTAATCCCATTAATTATTAATATTATAAATTCAAAAGATTTGATGGATGTTTGTTACTCAATCACTCCAGAACGGCTGCACTGATCTGGATGAAATTAACGCACAGGGATAGATTATAGTCTGGAATAGCACATAGATTATTTTTTAATCCGAAAAAATGTACGGTTCCCGTGGGATAGATTTGTTTCCGTTAATCACAGAACAAAAGCGATCGATTATTTACTTATTCCATATTATCCGTTAAAACGTACTAACCTATGGGCGAAACCGAGAGAAGCGACGGTGAGTTACTAGTGTGGTTATAATTTACATATAACAATAGTAGTGTGACATATCATGTATGTATGGACATTGGACATACATACAGAATATAGGTAATATATTATATAAATTTAAATAATTTAATGTTCATGACCTTATAATTGTAATTTCTGTGATTATCTTTGAGGGCTATTAGGGACTACTTCCCACCTCCCTGCTCCTCTACCCAGCTCTTAACCTTCATTTGAATATCAATGCGGTATATTTTGCAGATTTTTGCCTGAACGCAAATGGGAAATATTTATAAACGAATCGTGTTTTTTCGCGGCCTTGTTCAACTTTCACATTTAAATATCATCATAATCAAATAGACCTGAGAATAATCTAATGGAAAGTATATAACTTCTTTGAAGTTAGAATGTTAATTAAGCATTTGCGTTACAGGAAAATAATCAACAATATCCAGGAAATGGCATTAACAATGGCAATTTGGGAAATTATCCACAAAATCCGAATATGATGCAGGTATTTTTAATTCACAAGTGTCCCGAAACGATAAAACTAACAAATAATTTTGTCATTTACAATATTAATTATTAACTAGTACTTAAGGATTTATTTAATGATGATGTATATTTACATACAGTTGTAACTTGTATGATACAGGCTTCATTTTTAATTATTGGTTTAAGGACTTCACTTACATATGTATAGAAGGTACCAACGTTTTGTAGGATTACTGTAAATTGTAAAGGGTTTTCCAAACATCTTCAATCATTTTTGACGACACGTTTGGCTCAGTTTGTAGGGACCCTATTTGCTGTGCTAGCGGTCGCGGGTTCGAGTCCCGCTGGGTCATTCATATGGTGATGATCACAAATATTTGTACTCCAGTCATGGGTGTTTATATTTATAATATGTATGTATTTAAAGTTACATATGTGTAGTGTATAAACTACCTGGTATCCATAACAGAAGCCTCGTAGCTTACCATGGAACTAGAAGGTGCTTTGTGTTAATGTCCCAACAAATTAATTTTAAATTAAGGTTCTATTCCTTTTAAAAACTCCTTTGCCACTATATAAACGAAGGAACTACGAAACGGCTCTAAAAAAACTTAATTCCCATTACGTTAGTCTTCTGGACTAAAAAATCGGACTAGTAAGTACGAGTAGGTACAACTTCTATGAGTCTCAAAGCTGAATACGCATACTTCGTACAACATGACTGTATGTTCATTGTTCACTGACTCACCTGTCGAATGAATAAAAGCTCTTACAGAACAGCACTACTGAATTGACAAGCATTGTTTGTATGATAACTTATCTTTATCTTTCCGGGATAGTACATTGTATGAAACGAGCAAATAGAACCTTCACACACTGTTTACGGCTATAAGGTCACAGGTACCGATAAATAGGTCTACTGAATCGATCGAAATGAGACCTACCTATACATACATTGTATATAGAAGAAAAGAAACAATTAACAATTAACATTATTGTATGGTGAAGAAATAATACGACAGATTTTCTAATAGTAAATTTATTTAATTGAAATTAATATTTAAAAAATGTTTTTTTTTTACTTTTAAGGGCAACACTCCACAATATCCCGGGACCGATTTAAGTAATGGCAATCCAAATTTCAACTATCCAGGAAATTCTAACGTAATGCAGGTATATAGGCAATAAATAATTTATATTATAGAATTGAAAAATAAAACCTTTAGATTTCAATATGATTTCATTTATCAGATTATATATATGTAATACAATAAAGCACAATATTTAATTTGTAAAACGTATGAATTTGAGGGTATTAATCCACAGTATCCTGCACAAGGCAATGGCTTAGACCACATTAATAAAAGACCAGGAATCAATTATCCAACGAATCCCCCTGCTTTGAATCAGGTAAGTTAATTTATTTTGTATTGAATGTAGCGCCGTTAGGGAAATTATTTATATATACGTACATATTACAAAATGTTCATTATGTTTTGTAGAGTAATAACTAGTTGTCTATGGCCGTATCAGCTTCTTAGAAAAATAAAATCAAAAGTATATAAAAGTGATAATATTATACGTATACAAAATTGTATTACATATTTTAAAAAAAATGTTTACGTTACGCTTACACGGTTAACGCTGGATAAACCTCTTAAGAAATACATTGTACTAGAAAATTGTAGGTCTTTATTAGATAATATTTGTAATGCCAGAGTTTTTGATAACTTGTGTTATTATATCGCTCCCCATGATTGGACTCTTTGATCTAGTTGCTAATATGTGTTTTTGTCAAGAAGTTAATAGCAATAGCCCCGTAATTAGGAAGTTGGCGATGACATAACCCTATGGCTCGAACTATCTATCATTATGATAACCTAAATAAAAGAAACAGTATACTAAGATGGACTTAAAATACGATGTGTATAATATAAAAATAAAGATAATATAAGAGATTAGAATATACGGATTATGAATGTACCTATTAATAAAAAATTAGGTAATTGTAACCTTTACGGGCGGTTGAAGTAAAACTTCTTTGGCGCTGTGGCAAATACTGCAATTAAATTAAAACAAATCAATAATTAAATAAGGCATATTAAATTTATATATTTATAGAATATCATATACGGAAAGAATATAATATAATATATTTGTCAGACAATAATAACGGTTATCATGGCCAAAATTAGTCATAATAGCTTTTATTTATTTATGTACAATCATCCGCAGTAATAAATTTTCATTTTTATAAGTTTACAGTTGTTGTTGTTATAAGTAATAAGTTTACGGTTTAGCTTTTTTTTACCAAGTTTAAAAATTATTTTACATTTTAAGAATGTTGTTTTTCATGTTAAGAATGCACAAATAAAAATAAAATAAATGAAAACTATACTGATTAATTATAATTTTAAATTAAAATACTAAAATACGTCAAATAATGTAAAATACGCTCAACATAAAATTAATGTCTCTATGTCGTTCCCTTGTTCTAGTATCTATCGATTCACCCAGACGTTACAATCTGTCTTTTGTCAATACTAAATCGTCTCAATCTAAACAAATGAATCTGAGAAAATGAAAGAGTTTTCTATACGATCGTTAGAATCCTATATTAGGTACCTTCTTTTTTATATTTTTTAATCAAATAAATATTTTTTCAGAATAATTATGATCGATATCCAGGATATAATAATTGGAATAATAATAATAATAGGTATCCTGGAAACTTTCAAATCAGGCCAAATTTTAACACGCAGGTATGCTTTACTTTAAATATAAACTGTATATGTACATTATATTAGAAAAAAATTATGCACACAATAACTAACTTTATAGTACATTCGTGAAATTGAATAGCTATTTACAAATGCAAATGTTTATCATATAACCTAACTATGCTGAAAGGGAGGGTGCGTACACTTACTTGTGCTCCTGTTTACCATTCAATTTCTTTTAGGGCCAATACCCGGGTCAGAATTGGAACAACGCTAATGGATTACAAAACAATCAGAATCCAAATCAAATTGGTGTACCAGGAAACCAGCAAACACAGGGGCTTAGCCAAAACCCGTTAATTCAAGGACAACCTATTCGATACCCTCCTAATACCTACCAAAATTACAATCCTGGATTACAAAATGGCGGCTCATTTCCACCGCAAGTTGCAAACGGAATGAACAATCAATTACCACATGACAACTTACAAGATCCTAACATGCAATATCCTCAACTACCCAATGCTGTGACTACGACTGTAACGCCTCCCGTAACTAGGTAAGGATTTCTATATCTATTTATAATTTAGATATCAGTCCAAGCAATTTCATTCAAGAACATTTCTTATATAAGTATTTTTTGTTCAAAAAGATTGTAAAGATTGAAGATTTTGTTCATAAATATTTTATGGTATGCTCACAAAATATTTAGAATAAAAAAATAAATATGTATTAGTGTACCATAACATAATTGAACTAGCAGATATGTCGCAGATTGATTATTGAGAACCACAAACAATACAACCTACAATACAACTTTAGGTTGTATTGTCTGTGTTGAGAACGAAGATGTATTTTAATATTGTCTTCATATCAATAAAATAATATTTATTTAATACTTAGTAGGTATAAATATTTTTTTTAATTTAATATCAAAATCACAGCACAACGGCTGCAATGAAACAATGTGTGCAAGACTGTCCGTCGACATCAGAATACAACCCGTTATGTGGTAATAATAACATAACATATTTCAACGAAGGAAAATTCGTATGCGCTCGCAAATGCGGTATCGGTAAGTCCTCTCTGGAATACTCCGCATTAATTTAACATATTCGCACATACGAGACTTTAATTTTATTACTTGGGCGATAATGAATTATCATTGCTTTGCATCGGTTTATTTTATTTATGTTTCATTTTTTCATATTTATGTTCTTCGTTTTGATTATTTTTGGATGTTTTACGCATTGTAGAGGTTTTACTTCTTTACTCTCCACAACTGTCGGTTCTGGTGTTCTTAAAGTAGATTTTATTTTTACTCTTTTTGGGGTTCATGTTAATAATATAATATCATGCGTAATATTTTGAACACCTCCAGGTAAATTTCTAAGAAATTAATTAAAATCCTAAGAAATCTATTGTTAACTGACACGCCGGCGTGTCCGCGGTCGTGGAGGGATTAATGCCTTTCATTCTATAGGTTACATTGGATATTTTAGGGTAAAACACTAGTTTATAAAATATTTTAGATTTTAAATTAGGGTAATGAACATAGAAATTGTTGTTTTACTGCGCTATACAATTTTTAGTTTGTTTTTCTTTGAACCTCTCATGCCACATACAGAGTTTTGCATTTTTAATGTAATCTGCAATTAGTTCCCAGCGTACGTTATGTACAATTCAAGTACGCTCTATAATATTATAATGCTTGTAATTTCATAATTAGATTAATGTTTTACAAACCAAGGAAGGTAAAACGTAATTTTAATAAGAAATATACATTTTACATAAATGTAATTACTTTTTGGTTCCTCAGAGATCAGACTCAATATATTATAATTTTTTTAGATAATTTCCACTTCACACTTGTGCCATCAATGTAAATGAAATGCATAAAAAATATAAAAACAACGGAATTGAAAATGTCATAATGTCTGTAATTACTAATTATTGTTATTGGAATTTTTTATAATACAATAAGCTTTACTGTAATTTCGTAATGATCATGTAAGCGATGACACGCGAGCCTGATGGATTAACGTGCTCGCTGAGACGTACTAGGGATCAATATTCAATCCATAAACGATCCTCTTTATGTACTATTTGTATAATATCTTTATTTGACTGCCTCGTTGATCTAGTAGCTACCATGTACGGCTATAGTTACAGGGGCCCTGGACTCGATTCCGGGATCGGGCCAGTATAGTTATTGGGTAATAACAGTTTGAAGTTAGAAAGTAGGTGGTGTTATACCTGCGTGCCTTAGGTCCTGTGCCTGATCTCTTACTGGTCGTATCAAATTCTCATCCCGCTGAAATCTAAGAGTGTATTTGGTTTTGCGCACATATTAGTGCATTATAATATTATATCCTGCGCATATTGCTAGTCACAGTGAGATTGACAGCTGTCTTTATTTTTATTTATATATAAAAAGGATCTGCTGTTTGTTGATAAGCGCATGGCTAGAGTTTAGCTGGCACCAACTTCGAAAATATCTGATTATTGATCTCCCTCCAGTTCAGGTGTTTTACTTTTTAGGGTCTTTCCTTACCTTTACGGAAAGTTTATTTTATTGTACCAATTCAATATCTTATTAGGAGATATTTTAGGCATATCCTATAGTGCGCGCAAAGCTATTTTTTTTTATTCACTAAATAATATTTTTTTTTCTATCAATTAATTCCTTTGTATATAATAACACTATATGTAGTACATTCAACCGTCAAATTTGATAGCCAACATTCAATATAATCACATTTTATTGGTTACCCTTGGGGGGCGAATTCGGTTTGTATTTATTGCTTTTTATTATTACTGTGTAGTTACATTAATTGATATGAAAATAGGACAGTCGTTTTTATTATCTTTTACGTACGTACCATTTATGAGTAGTTTAATATATCTACAACTATAAAAAAGCAACGCAGTGGATAATAAAACTATAATTTTATTATAACGTAAAACAAGAGAAGAATAATAAGTAAGGTTATATTTATGCACTAGGGACTTTTTATTATTTTAGCGGAAGCCTAATTCTTTTCCTACAATAAAAGTAGCCTAAGCTACTCCTTATAACATCAACTATCTGCCAATGAAACTCCGTCAAAATCAGTCCATTCGTTTCTGAGATTAGCTGGAACAAACAGACAGACAAACTGACAGACAAAACTTTTAAAATTGTGTTTTTCTTATAAGTATCGTATATATTTCCATAGGCATTTACTAAAGAGCTGGTATTTTGACATTACAAACAGACACTTCAATTTTATAATATATCTGTATACTCTTATACATATATATTTTGGTATTATGATCCACTTGTAGTTACAAAAAGTAGGTCTACGAGTATGTACTTGAAGTGAATACAATGAAGCTTTTGTTTTCGTAATCTCCCATAAATATATATCCATACTAATATTATTATAAATGTGAAAGTGTGTTTGTTTGTTTGTTTGTTTGTTTGTTTGTTTGTTTGTTTGTTTGTTTGTTTGTTTGTTTGTTTGTTTGTTTGTTTTTTTGTTTGTTTTTTTGTTTGTTTGTTTGTTTGTTTGTTTGTTTGTCTTTCTTTCACGTCGAAACAGCTTGGCGGATTAGCGTGATTTTCTGTGTGGAGATAGTTCTGGGGCTGGAGAGTGACATAGGCTACTTTTTACCGCCGGAGATTAGCTCTTTCCCACGGGAAAAAACGTTATAATACAATCCAAAAAAATAATTATGATCAGAATTACTTGAAACTTGGTATTAATACTCTTCAATACAATTAATTAAACACGTATTTTAACACCTCCAGGTAAACTAAGAAATTAATTAAGCAATTAATAAAAAAATATAATACTACCAATAATATTATCTACTATTAATAGTAATACAATATTGTTTAAATACCAAATATTACTATTGTATACATTATATGACTGAAATAACTTATCTTTTTTTAAATAACTTTTAATAAACTAGTCATTCACCCTTACTTCATTCAGGGACCGTCCTAAGTGCCATGTACTATTTCTTCAGCCTTTATTTGCCAATCTTTTTCCTTTACGATAGCTATAGTATAAATTAATCTTTCTCCAGCCTGCTAATTATGACTTTGCAAAAAATCATATTCATTTATCCGTCGCTCCGTAATCCGATATGTGTGAACGACAACAAAACCAATTAACAAATATTTTCATAATTCATATTATCAGTAATTTGTATATTTTGCTTTTATTAGCTGTAACATATTAGGGTTATTTATGTGATCATCTATACAAATAAAAAAATTGAAGTGTCTGTTTGTAATGTCAAAATAACAGCTTTTTACTTATATAAATGTATACACGATACATATACCAAAACAACATTTTTTACAATTGTTGTCTGTCTGTCTCATCTCTGAAATGGCTGGACCGATTTTTACGGTACTTTCACTGGCAGATAACTGATGTAATAAGGAGTAACTTGGCTACTTTTATTTTAGAAAAAAAATAGGGTGCCACGATTTTTTTTAAAAACAATGAAAAATTTAAGAATATCCGATTCGAATAGGGAAGTTGTATACATACCCTAGTTATAAATAAGAAGATTGACGCCAAGCTGATATGGAACCAGTGATCTCAGTTGTGAGTGAACTAGTCATGTCATTGCGCCAGAGTCACTGTTTGCCATCTAATTGCGTATGTATATTTTGAGGCCTTCCTTTGTTTATGTTTCAGATGTAATCATTGTCCGACACAGCGCTTGTCCTGCAGCGAGCGCTGCTAATGCTACACCAGGAGTGTATGCCTAAAGTAAATGAAAATATATATAAATAAATGGTCAGCCACGGGAAAGTCCCGTAGACCCGTAGATCGGGCGAATAGTCATTTCGTAATTTATTATTACTCAAAAAATATAAAATATAATAGAAAAGTAAATCTTAATTTATCTTTCTTTACAATTCTGTATATCCGTTTCCTTCAATCCATCCTTTGTCACCTTAATATTGTATTCATGTTAGTAATAAAAAAAAATTTATATTAGTTTAATTAGGGACAGTAACTACATACTATGAAATAGCACGTGAGGGCGTTTATGAGACGTCTGATTAAATTAAAGCTATTTTCTACCATACTGGACTGGGCGACTACTAAAACATCAATTTTTCTTTTTATTCTGTGTCGCAAATAGACAATCAAAAACCATGCCTACATAATTACTTTCTTTCCCACCTAAGATGTTGAATTTTGTAAGACATCAACGTGTTTATTGGTTAAATTACAACTTTTCTCCTGTAAGAGGTAGACACAAAATATTGATTAATTTTGACACTGGAACTTGATCATTTCATCTTGATCTTTTAGAGATAAGCTTCAAATTAAAAAAAAAGTACCTATGACTTGTTAGAATTTCATCTCATCAAGTCCAGGCCATTATTTTGGTTCAAATGTTGAAGAATTAATTAGCCAGGATTTGTAGTTCAAAAACGTTAAACTTCTCGCTACTAAACAACCTACTCTATGTAATTTACTTTATCTGGTCAATTTTACTAACAAATGGCTATGACCTTAGCTATTGAATACTAGACATCAAAGACGAGAGGCATATGTATATATCATGCTAGCAGTAATTTCGTAGTATTAAATTCTTGTAAGACTTTTTCTGTATAGCAAGTATTTTCGCTATATCTTAAGTCTGAGAAGACTTAAGCGTTTTCCACTACAATTCGTTTGAAATACAAGTTATTAAATAAAAACGTAATGGAATTTTAAACTTTCTATTCAGACGAACATTCGTCTTTTTTGGTCGGTCCATCTGACTAACCAACTTTCCGTAATTGTTTTTTCAACTTCACAGCATGAGTTTCGAGATGAAACAATGCGTTCAGAGCTGTCAGATGACGTCAGTATATTTTATACGCGAGAATGTTATTTTCTAACTTTTAACTATGAAAATATCAAATACAGAAACACGAAACTTTGCGATATAGTTTAATCCTCATGGAATACTACGCATATTATGTATACAGATAAATTAAATTAAAATATCTGTTTGTAATATCAAAATAACAGCTTTTTACTAAATGCATATAAATTATATACGCTAGTTATAAGAATACATATAAGAATATGTATATATTTTTTAATTTTGTCTGTTTGCCTGTTTATTCCGGCTAATCTCCGAAGTGGCTGGACCGATTTTCACGGAACTTTCAATGGCAGATAACTGAGGTTATAAGGAGTAACTTAGACTACTTTTGTTTTAGAAAAAGAATTAGCGTTCCACTTAAAAAATTAAGAAGTACCTAGGGACGCACCCGAGCGAAGTGGTAAGTCACTAGTATAATAATATTTATGTTCATTTTTATAACTCATATTGCCACCAATAATAGTACATTAGTATAATGGCTCATGTCGTCTGAAATCTTAATTATAGTAATACTATCAGAACCCGCGGCTTCTCTCGCTCTAAAACTACAAAAAAATCTCGAAAAAGGTAGTTTCATACAAACTTTCTTCCCCTATTTTACCCCCTTATAGGATGAATTTTGAAAAATGCTAAGATACGTATTTATTTATTTTTATCGAAGAGTATATATACCAAGTTTCAAGTAATTCTGATTATAAATATTTTTTTGGATTGTATTATAACGTGTTTTCCCCGTGGGAATTAAGTAATCTCCTGCGATAATAAGTAGAATATGCCACTCTCCAGACCTCCAACTATCTCCATACAAAAAATCACGGCAATCCGTCTCTCCGTTTCGACGTGAAAGAAGGACAAACAAACAAACACACTTTCATATTTATAACATTAGGATGGATTATTTCTCTTATAGATAAACGTTACATTTAAAAGGAAATCGTGTTATTAACATAATCCAGAGTTCGTCGGTGTCTTTACGCCTTTCTTGTGCAAATTTCTGTAATTAATTTCATTATAGACTAAATAGAAGTATTTTATTTCCGTCTACCGTGATTAATCTTTTTGAAAAGGTGATTAAATGGTGTTCGCTTTACTTATGAATTATAAACGTTTTATTGTGAAGTTTATGAGAAGAATATAAAGATTTTGTCTGTACTGCGACAGATTAATTTATTGGACGCGACTCTTCGCCCGATCTACGGGTCTATAGGAAGCCTTCCCGTAGCTGACCCGTAGGTCAAACTTATTGAAATGACTTATGATATTGTTGGTTCTGGGTTTGAAAAAACCGAACGAGAAGGCCTTAACTTTTTCAACACCTCAGTCAGGCCTGTCACATAATAATACTACCCACTCCTCCAGAGGCCTCGTCCCATATACTAAACATCTCAATAATACCTCAAAATCAGCTCGGCTTAGGCCAAATTAGTTAAGCCTATTAAGTATTTAGTATTTTAGTAAGTAGTATATTCTAACACACTTTGGACGAAACGGTTTGCCTTAGAACATACCAGTTTGGCCTGAAATCTAGTTTGGCCGGTAAATATTTAAACGTCACATAATTTGTTTTTGACTACTTATTATAAACAAATGTAAAAGTTTGGACCGTGAATACTTAAACTTAACTTAATCGATCCACGGGTCAACGACGGGAAAGTCCCGTAGACTCGTAGACGGGGCGAATAGTGATTTCGTAATTTATTATTTCTCAAAAATATTTGATATAACAAAATACCAATAAGTGTTTCATATAAATATTGTCCTCTATTACAGTGCCATCTATTCTTCTTTAACGGCTTTAATAAAGAACGAATTTCTTTTTCTATGTTACGCACTATCTTCATCAATAATTTGTCAACTGATTTTTATTATACTTTTTTTAATGAATTTATACATATCTCGAGAGTGATATAATCACTTTAAAGTAATTTTAAAGGCGGTTTACATTTTTAGCTTAAAACTAATTGTTCAATTAAAAAGAAAATCATTTAAGCCATTACGATATTACCAAGTTTTAATTAACAAGAGACTGTCTATGAATTGTGTCGGTTATTCCTTTAAACATTTATCCCTAATTTGATAATTATTAAACAGCTAGCAGTTTTTAAAGCAACATGAAATACTAAAATTAACCTCATTCATCTGCATTTTAGTGTGTTGAAGTAGGCGAACTTCTTAGCTTTTCATGGATTTGCCGTGTGAGCACCGTGTTCATCGCGTTGTATAGAAAAACGCGGAGTAGTTCATGGAATTTGCGATCCAGGACTAAAGAAAATTTTGAAAAATGAATTACGTTTTTAAAATTTTGTAAGCTTTAAATGCTTACACTGCAATTAACACATCCTTTAGTAAAATCAATTAGCCACAATTTCGAATTACGTGCTCAATAGTACACAGTTTTTTAACGCATATGTAATAAAATATATTTGCTAAATAATCGCATATTTGTGTTTTTATATGTGGTTTGGTTTCCGCCACTCGTACGCTGAAACTATACATTTTAAATTGTATGGAATTTTCTCTCGTGTAATTTATAATATAATAATTATATATGATCGTAAAACTGGTTTTGTGCAGTTTTCTTTATAAAATGGCAACTTTTATGATTTTATAAGGCCCATGGTAAAAGTTATCAATGGATATTGGCCCATGGTAAAAGTTATATAGGTATTCACGCTTCTTTTATGGAAAAATTGAAACATGAACCTGCCAGATCTTAAAGATTCTGATCGATTATCTGTACGAGTGTATGTTTTTCAATATATCATTTACCATGGTTTCCAAGAACGTTTTTAACGAAAAGTCTTTACAAGGATAAACAACTAGGGATAACACAAAAAAAGCGCGCCGCCTTACTCCACCTCAAGGTAGAGCAAAAAAATTTTTCACCAATATGTGCCGTATGTCACACTTACCTACGCTACGATTTACATACAAGAAATAAAAAAGGTTTTTTTTTTTTAAATTAAACGGTTTTATTGAAAAGAAAGATAATAATTATGTAGATAATGTACTGAAAGCTAAAAAATAATTTGGTAGGTACTAGGTATAAGTCATCATACCACTCTCCTCATCAATCTAGGATATTGCAATAAAATCGTGGGGTATAGAGTAACCTGAGTAAATAGAATTTATAATAATGATAAGAGCAATTGACTGTTGATATAATTTTCACGCGAGTATTCTACTAGTCAACCCCTCCTATCATTTGATACCCATATTGGGGGTTGTAAAATTTTGTAATCCGCCATTTTGTATGAATATATTCAATTGAATTGTCACCATAACTAAAGATGTGTACCAAACCAGTATCAGATCAATCCGTCAACAGGAAAGGGGTAAAATTACATTTACTGAATTTGACCCAAAGCAACCTACATAAAACCGTTTAAAACGCTATCTATTACATTAATTAAAATTGAATCTGTTGTGTATGTGAAAGGAAATAAAAAAAATGCAAATTGGAATCTATAAGGAAACTAATTTCAAATTTTTCGAGGTATAAGAACCAAATAAATGGAAGTTTCAAAATATTTTCTTTATTTCATTTATTAACTAGCCATATATATATATATATATATATATATATATATATATATATATATATATATATATATGCTTGATCACACAAATTGTCATCCTGACTTAACCTTCTTAAAGATTATTTTAGTTTTTACAAAAGGTCTAAGTACCAACTTTCACGTAACTTCTAAGTACAGAAGTAACGAGCTTGTACCGAATTTCTATACAAGCTTTCAACTACTTCTTAACCTCCATAGCTTACTTTGCACTCTTTATTTTGTACCTAGTTTTAGATCTTGAGGTTAAGGTCAGTGAGTTTTATTAGGTACTAGCGACTCTCCCTCGCTTGATTCCCCTTAC